ATTCAACAAAAATTGGCGCTAGAACTATTTTGAAAGGCGACAATAAAAACTATCATAATTGAAATATTATAAATACAACAGTAAGTGACTCTGCATAGCTTGTACCTCTAGATTCCACAGTTCTCCATTCAATTACAACTCTGGTCTTACCTCAATATTTCATGAAAATTATTGCAAAAATCAATCAGACGGGAAAATTGAAAAAGCAAAGGACAATGGCATTGCCGAAAATGCAGTAAAATTTTTGATTGAAAATAAGTTTTACTAGCAAGAATAAAGAACTTCCATTAAAATAATGACCGAAAATGTTTTTAGGGGCCGTTCACTTATTACGTTCGCATTTTAGGAGGGAGGGGGAGTTGAAAAATTGTAACAAAATGTAACATAGGGGGGGGGGGGGTGTCAAGAAGTATGTAACGTTCTAACTGTCGTCTGTCTTTTAAAAAAAAAGTTCACGAAAAAAATTTGTTTACAAATTCACACCAAAAACATTTTTTTAAATTTTTCACCTTTTTAATGAAAATTTAAATGTTCTTAATAACTCCCTATAAAAAATTATCAAAATAAAATAAATTTTGAACGTTCGGGGGGGGGGGGGGGGGGTTGTGAGTTGTAACATATTGCGACAAAGGGAGGAGGGGGGTCGTTTTATGCGTAACGTAATAAGTGAATAGCCCCTTATAGCATTTGAAGTTTGCAAGAACACCTGATTGAAAAATCCCAGATATTATTGTACATTGTCAGAGCTATTATAAATTTCCGGTTTAAAAATATTCATTTATTTTTATTAAATTATAAGATCAACAAAGCATCGTGAGAGTTGTGGAAATTTATGGATGAGTTTTAGGAAAGAATTTTATATTCTTAGGAATTAAGAATATTTATGGCTGCATTTAAGGAGTAAATAAATCTTTAAGAAACCCAAGCACATTGACTGAAGCTTGATGAAAATTCCTTAACAATGTTGATTGACCTTCCAAAATGAGCAAAGGTTGTGTATGCAAAAGTTTCCCAATATATCTAGTTCTAGCATCAAAAGATGCATGATAAAATAATAATTTACAGAACATATCTTGTTATCTTGAGTTACTGCATCAGAACTTGAACTTTACCCATGACTTGTTATTTCAAAAATACAAATATATCTCCCATAATTGGAGTCAAAAGTACAAGACTGCCAGTCACTCTATCATCCTTCTTCCTCGAAATTTTCTCTCCTTATTTCGTTCTTTTAATTTTCTTGATTGATATGTACAATAACATTTGACATTTTACCATCATTTCAATGAACTTTACATCCTTTTTTTCTAAGAGCCCTGTCAGCAAAATATCCGTTTGAAAAGAGCATCTTGATTAAATATGAACAGCATAACGAAAATGAATTTCTTGTTTCCATGATACCAATCTTGTTATATATCTATGAAACCCAAATTCTATAGAACCACCTGTAGGAAAGTAAAATATGAAAATTCTAAAAGATGAAATGCTTGAATGCAATACTTATGAATGAAATATGTGTGAATACAAAGATATTAAGCATGCGGTGCGAAGTTGAATTTGAATGGAAAATTCTTTTCGTTTCGCTACTTTTTGTTTCATACAATATAATTTAAAGCTTCTGTCACACACTCGATGAAATGGAATGATTATTTAAGTTTTTTATGACATTCAGGGCAAGAAAGTTAAATGGAAGTGATAATGTGGAATTAATTGAAATTTTATTTCTTTTTTGCGGATTATTCTAGTGAATGTGAAGAAGGAATTGAAACTTGGATGGGGGATTTGACACAGTTGATTACTATTGAGCGGTTAAGCTAGCTTTTAATATTTAAATTATGATATGATGATATTCGCTTTTGACTGTAAAACCAGACATGTCTAGTATTCTGAATCTGCAACCAGATATTGTCAGGAAGATTCCAAAAGGTCTTTCGAATGCCTTTGTTCAAAAATTCAAATAAAATTTATGTTTTCTGAGATTTTCAGTCTTAAACAGAACTTAGTTCCAACTGTCAAAAATGGCAGAAATATTCAATATTACCAACGGAAGTAAGTTCCAAAACTTTATAAAACACGTATAAAAATGAATTGTACTTCATCACTTATCTCAATCATCATAAAACCCGCAAATACAACACAACAATTTCATGTTTCCAGAAGCTCAATAATCCTTTGATGATCTCTTAACACGATACTAAAATATTCGAAATTACATCAATAATCGTTTAAAAGCGACAAGTGATAAAATGTTCCAAATTCATATACCAAACATAATCATAATAATATTAATGAGTAATATTCTCTACAGCTGCTACGAATTAGTCTGCCACAGAGTAAAAAATTACAAGTCAATTAATTCATTTTTTTTTGTGTGCTGTGCTCATAAAAAACTTTCCTTTTTCACGACTCTATACTCGAAAATATTTTAATTTAAATGAAATTCAATTTCTTCGAGATCATTTGCAAAAAAATCTACAACAAACCACAAAAAAAAACTATTTGAACTAATTGAAATCATTTTCATTTATAAGTGGCAAATAAAGAGAGAAAGAAGGAAAATTGAAAATTTTACAATCATAAAAAGCAGCAAAACACATATTTTGCACTTAAAGAAAGTCGTCACGTTGTGAGACAAATTGAAATGCATGAGCACAATATGTGTACATATATACATTTTGCTCTTTGGGAAAAAAGAAGCAGCAAGTCAGATATAAAATAAATATATATGAATATGAATATAGAAAATGTTTATATTTATTCCTACGCATTGTGAGTGTATAAAAGTATATTAAGCTATATTTAGTGAGCATCTCTTAAATTTTCTTCTCAAAATAGAATATATATCCTATATTTAGGTTGACTTTGCTACTCGCATATGTAGATTTTATTGACTACAAAGTGCTACACTGATAATATAGCGGCACACATAAATTCTGGTTCCACATCATCTCCTCCCCGTATCAGTCGTCCACAATAACGACGAAAAATTAAATTGGAAAGCACTTCAAACCAATCAATATGTCCTTGAATGTACCCGTAGTGATGAGCCGTGTATATGAAAGAAATACGACCTGTATCGCTTTCAATCAATTATCAATCTATGAAATACTGTGAATTAGAAAGGTTCATTTAAGCGTATACACACTCAATTTGTCATCATCATGACTCTTGAAGTGGCTTTTCATTGTTACATTAAATTTTCCTTTCAACTTTTGTGAGCTCTTTTTTTTAAAATAAAAAAAATAACAAATGAAGGAAGCTGCTTGTCGAAAAATTACAGCTAATTGAGATTTTTTACCCAATAAATTTGTAGAAAAATGGTTAATGAAGAAAGTTGTTTATGGAATGAGTTGAAAAGGCTGGAAAAAGAATTTGTTTTTACGAGAGTATATAAATAAATCATTTTAAGCATTGTTTGCTCTATTAGAGAGAAACTTTTTTTGAGATAAGTGCTTCAGAAACTTCATTTTGAAGAATAATTCATCAATTTTTTAAGAGGAAATATTTCAGCGTTTTAAAAAGGTTTAGTTTGTATATAATTCATGAATCATGAGGAAAAATAAATTCATAGAAGCACAATTTTCAACACATTTCCAAAACATTTTAAGTACAGTGGGGAAAAAAATCGATACTGTGACCATAACACAGACTGTGAAAACATCTATGAGATGAGAGGCAAATTTTCAATTTGAACATAGAATCCGCAACATTTAAAAAAAGTGTTATTAATACAATAAATCAGTGAAAATACAAGAAAAATCAGAAACATTTTGTGGATGTCCGTTGAAATTAATAAACGCATAAATTAAGAAAGTCAACTTTGTCTCATGAGATTCTTTTATCGAGACGCAATTTTCCTCGCTTTTTTATTGCTTTTTTCGAAATCAGCACAAACGATTTAACCTGAAAGGTTCCGTACCTAAATATTTATTTTAATCAAATGATCTTATCATGCATAGAGTTTTATGGATACACACTTTTGATATTCCCGCTGCGATCTTTAAGTAGCCTGTGGCTATTTATTTATATAATTGATTTTTTTTTCGTCTGTAACTGCCTTTAAGTATGAATGAAAATTGTACTCTTCTGTTGATAACACTTCATTTTTAAAGGTAATTTGTTTTAATAGATTCACTGGAAATTTGTGCTGTAAGGCTGATGAAACATCCGGCATTGTAAAACAAATCAATAAATGCTAATTGAATCAATTGCTTAGGTCAGTTTTAGACATGAGAATTGGCACAGATTCTTCAAAATTAAAAGAATTCTAGGTCATTGACTAAACATCGAGTTTAAATCTCAAAAATTGTGCGCAATTCAATATGCATCCATTTCGTTATCGTTAATGTTCAAGCGTGGTTGCTTTTACGTAATTTGATCATTAACTCATAATTTGTATTCATTAAATTTCTTCTAGTTCCTCCTTGAAATTTACCAAAATGTTTATATTTCTCAAATTCATTGTTTTCACTTGCTAAAATAAGACTTTTGACTTTGAAAAGATCCTGGAATTTTTATTGAGCATTTAAAATTGTTAAAATAAATAAAATTGGCTCTGCAGCTGTAATTAAGGCATCTTCTTCGGTCTGTGATCGATAATAAATAAAATTAATTGATATTTTTTCAGCGAAATTTCATTTTAAACAGGGTGTGAAGCTTGTCATATTTTTAAGGCAGTGCTAAGCTAGTCTACCAAATTGCTACTTGATCTATTTTCAGACAAACTTCCGAAATTTTCCAAAATGTTGCAAAGTCGTGAAAAAGAATAAAGGAAAGAAACATTTTCGCACAATTAAGTGAAAACGACCGCAAAAAAGCAATATTAATTCGTAGACTTATCGACGAATAAAGTATAAATTATAGCACATGTTCGGTTTTTTGGAAAATGCTCAAAAAAGATATCACACAAAAATGAGTCAGTATTTATTTGACGATTAAGATCTTCTTTTTTCCTCTTTATTTTTAAAGCGTAGAATATTGGAGAGCTTAAAGCAATCTTGTTCGAATGCTCGTTCGGTAAACGTTGCTTCTTAAAAATTAATTGTGAACCTTAAAAGTGAGCAATTTATAGTGTGCGATTAGGATGATGTTCTCGAATAATATTTTAAAGTTTCAATTTATGGACAAGGTTATTTTTAATTCTACAAAATAATTAATTATTAGAAAAACATTTACAGACTTTAATTGATTTTAATTCGCAATTAATTAATAGTTATTTTTTTTGTTTCGTGCAGATGTATATCGTGCATAACTTACAAATGTGTTGATTTTTTCATGACTTATCATAAATAAACTCTCTCGCTGGCATGGAATTAAGGAGGCAGTTTTGTTTTTCAAAATTTATGAAAAGTCTCTTAAACTGTGCCTTACTCTATGAAAAATGGAAAAAGAAACTCTTTTCAATATGGAAATTAATCTTATTTTAAATTCGACTCTTCTTGACTCATCATAACTGTCTTCCTTGATTAATTTAAAGTCATTAAGAAACATTTATTATCGTAATAAGTTATCGTGTTGTTCTCATTTGTGCTGTGTTATATAATTAATATTACTTGTTTTATTTTTGCACATTTTCCCTTGGGTTGTCTGCTATTTTTCTTGCTTAGACTGTCTGTACTCATAATTTTCTCTTAGATCTTTTTATAATGTCGCGAAAAAAAAGTTGATTTTTTTCATTTTGGACATTTTAAATTTAGAATTGGATATTAAGTAAGTGGAAAATCACTTTGCAGCTCTAAATTATTAATTTACATAAAATATATCAATAAAATCTGATGAAGATCAAACAACAAAGTTTAAAGTCATGCTGAATAAATTGAAGCATTGAAGAAAGTTTCTCATTCTCAAGGAGCATCAGCATTCATCTTTGTTGTTCTCAAGGTTTTTCGCACAATTTCAAGGATTAAAATTTTACTAAGAAGATTATAAAATATTTCAATTGATGCTGAAACCTAAGTTTATAGCTTCTTGCTGCAAATTATTGAAAACAATAAACTAAGAAGAATCAAAGCGTGAGAAAACTTTGATAAGAGAAAATGGGAAATTAATTATTAAAATTATATTGATGAAAGATTCATGCTTGCAAGAGTTTTTTCTTGTAGATTATAGCAGCAAAGTGCAATTTCATACTTGATGGAATAAATGCTATTGACTTTTATTGTTTTAAGAGTAAACCATGAGAACTGTTCACTTATTAAGGAACAATTGTATGAAAAAAATTATTGAAAGTTTTAATTGTAAATTTTTGATTTTTGATATTTGGAGGATTTCGTCTCCATTATCCGACTTGTGCTACTCAGAATGGTTCATTAAATAACGACATCCATGCAATCATAATAAAATGAGTTCCATCTCAGACTTTAATCTAGTTTCAAACCGTCCACAACTTCAACCAGACGTGATTATATCTAAAAATCCATAAAAAATCTTCTTCAAACGATTGGAAAATCTTACTGGCACCTCTATTATTTTAAAAATAAGATCAATAAAATGTTCACGGTGTGTAAAATTAGCAACAAAAGGCCGCCCACAGAATCAAAAAATGAACATTGCATATTAAACATTTGAGGTGCTGAATGATTTCTTAATGGATCAAAAACTCATCAAATCACGGGATAGAAGCTGTTGTTTTTTAAAATTTCAACTGCAAAACTTAAAGTAATCGATTCCATATGTCATTACCTTTACATTTTTGTACATAGGAAGTTTACCTATATAAAATTTCTGCGAATAAACCTCTGCTTAATGGAAGGAAGTAATAACATATTTAGCTTTTCCGATTTTATTGTTACTATACAGAGAAAATTCAAGCGGAAAATCGAGGAAATCGTTCAAATTGTTTCAAATGATTGTTTTTATTGCTTAGCAAATTATCACTCAATAATGAGATTTCACACTTATATCCGAATCCAATTATTTACTTTAGATCGCAAACATTTATGATCAGTCAATTCAATTCAATTCACGTGAAATGTTTGTGGAAATTTTATTTTTTATAAAAGCTTATCACTAAGAGGGAAATGCGCCAAATAATATAAATCTTTATGACTTTTGAATACATTTTACGATCATTTTTATTTATATGCCTTAATCAATGTTTTTTCCTTGAAAACTTTTTCTCTGTCTCATTGCAGATAAAAGAAGAAAAGCTACGCTATTATACGAAAGGAGAAATGATAAAAATATCAGAATCAAAATCTGACACATCAATAATCAGTCATTTATATAGGACAATAACAAAAAACCGTAGGCGATTATCTACAAGTGGCAATGTTTTACATAGGTGAATAAAAAAATAGAATTTATATTCTTTATATCTATCTACATTCATGTACTATGTCAAGCAGAAGGTCTCCTCTTTCTTTTCACAAATCAGACATTTGGGGGAAGACAACAAAGAATGAAATAAAGAAGAGTATTTATGTGTACATTACCATAGTATCCGTCCAGTGAGTGCCAACGGATATTGACTTATGGGAAAAGGAAGAAGATTGTTGTTTAATAAGGAAGAGGCATTAAATATCTGTGGGAGCTAAGGGAAATTTTGATGAATTTTTAATGAATTAAAGTTGAAGAGGAAGTAGAATTTTTCGGGACTATGGAAGGGGTAAAGGATTGTAAGATATTTGATTAAACAAAGTAAAATACAGGATTTTATTGTTGCTAAAGATTCTCAATTCAAATTTCATATTTCCAAAAATCAGTTAAATTTTTAAAATTTCAAATATCCATACCGTTGCCCTACTGTCTGAACATCAATGCTATTTAGTGCGCAAATGAAGATTATATTTCAGAATCTTATATATAAAACAGCAAAAAAAAATATAAGCCATACTGAATGAAAAATATTTTTAGGATACCCACAGAATATGAACTTCAATTCATGAACTTCTCTGATGAATATGATATTGAAAAGACTGTTGCTGAAGGACATTTTGCTAAAATTTTTCTCACAAAGCACAAAATTACACAAACAAATGTTATCTTAAAGGCACTTCACAAAGAGCTTACAAGTATAAAGGAATTTATCAAAGAATTTCATTACAATTATCAGCTTAGTCATCATCCTTGTATACTAAGCTGCTATCAGGTAAAGCTTTACTTATCCTATTACCATAAAGTATCAATCTGTGTATTTGTTTATTTTGTTGGAATCACTTGAAAAAGTTTCAATTTTCTAAGAGGGGGGGAACTACTTGATGGGCAAAAATTTTAATGAATAATTAAACATTTTTGCTAGCGCTCATATCAAAAATTAGAACATTTTCAAATTTTATTCCCCATCAAGTAGTATCCCCCCTGAATTTCCCACAATTAAGACTAATAAAAAATCAATTTTCCCCAGGTTAAGTTTCAAACAAATGACTATTACGTATTTGCGATGGAATATGCACCATATGGCGATCTCAGTCATCATGTGGGTGCAAGTGGAATTCCTGAATCTTGCTGTAAAAAGATTGCTGATCAATTAAGTTCTGCTTTAGGATTCATGCATCAAAAATCACTCGTTCATCGAGATTTGAAATTAGAAAATATTTTAATTTTTGCACTTGATTTCTCACGAATAAAGTTATGTGATTTTGGCGGAACGACACGAGAGGGGCTCTTAGTTTATCGTAATAATAATACATGGGTAGGTATCATGCAAACATAAAATGTTTTTTTACATCTCTATATTATGTTATGTTCGTTATATACATATACACACCCTATTAGATATCATTCCTTCCACCTGAAGTCTTGGAAGTTGTTCGTAACGAGCGATATGCTGTTCGTAGTACAAGTGATACATGGCAATTTGGTAAGACTATAAAAATCCTCTTCGATTCGCCCTATAAAATGTCTATTAAATTTATCATCAATTTTTATTAGGAATTTTACTTTATATTTGTCTAACTGGAAGCTCACCATGGAAGGAAGCAAATTGGGTATCAGATAGTAAATATTGTGCATTTATGAAGTATCAGGTAATTGTTATTCACGTTTAATGCTATCCATAACTTTTGCTTATCCACTCTATGTACCACAATATTTGTAGAAAAGAGAGACGACGAAAATCCCCGAGAATTTCAAGAAATTTACGCCAAGACTTTTAAGAGCTTTTAGACGATTCTTCGACCATAACGAGGAGGACAGAGCTAAAGCTTCAGATATTACGAAATATTTGAAAGATAAATGGCTGAATACAAAAGTGTCTACGCTTTCAACTGGCAGTCTTCATCATTCATCATCATTTCGTGTATCGCATGCGAATTCAGATCAAGATTCTATAAAGTACATTAATCATAAGGACGCAAAACACACAAATGACGAGAAGGCTAGAATCAAAAGGCTGATGAGTACATTTGGAATTCATCAGGATAAGCATCCGATAACAGATCAGACAACAATTGCTGAAATACGAGTGACTCAGTGGCTAAATGACAACGAGAGGAACTTTAGACAATATGATGCCTTAGAAGAAGACTTAGACCTGAGTTATTGGCAAAAGGATGAGTCATTTTATGACTATAATCAGAACGATGGTCAAGATTTCTTTAAATAATTTGTAAATAAATTATTAATTTAATAATTAATTGTTATGTTCTTTAAAAAATATTCTTAAATTAAAATATATATTTTTAAGGTTTAAGGATGTATACATGTACAGACTTAATTTATTACAAAGCTTTTACAGAGTTTCTTCTACTTCTTATTTTATTTTAAAAAAAAAAGATTTGAAGTCCATGAATATCCCTCATAAATTGTTTCCATTGAGTTCATACCTATATGCAGGTTAATCTACTTGTATCTATAAATCTAAATGCTATGGCAAGAATTTCATTCGTCTTATACTGATTGTTGTATGTGCTTAAACATTAACTTGTTGCGATTTAATGAGAGCTGGACTCGTGTGGGACTTTACAAGCTCTAAGAATTGAAAAGGAACGTTCAATACAACACCTGGAATGGACATAAATTATGTTAGCCTTAAATGACAATCTTGTTTACAACTTCTACCCCTAGTTGATAGAGCAATTATCAAGGTATACAAACTTTAATAGATTTTCCATAAGAAGGAATCTAATCAGATTGTAAAAGTTAATACTCTTACCATTGCTTTCGACAAGTAAATGCCCACGTCTCTGAGATGCGCCTTTAACCGTAACAACTTCTCCCTTCTTCAATTGTTCACCATTACTTGCTTGCATATTTTCAGGAAAATTCATTTTCATGATTCGTAATTGAGGATATTTTAATTTTGAATTTCCAGAGACTGTGTATGGACGAGGTGGGGGAACCATCGGTGGTGACTGTGAAAAATTGATATGATTAATATTTTTAAGTGCTAATTTTCAAAATATATCGCAAACGCTACTTAATTATTATTAGTTTATGGTACCCTAACAGACAAAGAGCATGGTCTTGATCAAGAGTACGGTTGAGAATACGCTTTTTTAACATCTTCTCAAGATCACAGTATAGAGCATGTTCAATAGCATACTCAATCATACTCTAGTTTTGAAAACTTGCATGCAAGTTAATTTGCTTCATGATCTTTTATATACTCTCAAGAGCGTGATCGGAAGAATACATGAAAAACATGCTTAATAGCATACTCATAAAGTCATGTTCTATGAAACCTGGTTCTGAGCATGTACTTTTATATACTCTGTTGATCACACTCTTGTCCATAATCTACTAAGCATGGTTTCCAACCAACTCACTCGATGATAGTCTTAAGATGATGCTTCTGAGCATGTACATTTATATACTCTATTAAACCTGCTCTTGTCCATAATCTACTAAGCATGGTTTCCAACCAATTAATTCGATGCTTCTCTTAAGATGATGCTTCTGAGCATGTGCATTTATATACTCTATTAAACCTAAGCTTTAAAAACAAATGTCAAATCATTATTATCTCCTTATTTAAGAGACTTGACGTTCAAAATGAATGTCAAGTCATGATTTTCTTCTTATTTAAGAGACTTGACGTTCAAAATGAATGTCAAGTCATGATTTTCTCCTTATTTAAGAGACTTGACGTTCAAAATGAATGTTGCTTCATGATTTTCTCCTTATTTAAGAGACTTGACGTTCAAAATGAATGTCAAGTCATGATTTTCTCCTTATTTAAGAGACTTGACGTTCAAAATGAATGTTGCTTCATGATTTTCTCCTTATTTAAGAGACTTGACGTTCAAAATGAATGTCATGTCATGATTTTCTTCTTATTTAAGAGACTTGACGTTCAAAATGAATGTCAAGTCATGATTTTCTTCTTATTTAAGAGACTTGACGTTCAAAATGAATGTCAAGTCATGATTTTCTCTTATTTAAGAGACTTGACGTTCAAAATGAATGTCAAGTCATGATTTTCTTCTTATTTAAGAGACTTGACGTTCAAAATGAATGTCAAGTCATGATTTTCTTCTTATTTAAGAGACTTGACGTTCAAAATGAATGTCAAGTCATGATTTTCTTCTTATTTAAGAGACTTGACGTTCAAAATGAATGTCAAGTCATGATTTTCTTCTTATTTAAGAGACTTGACGTTCAAAATGAATGTCAAGTCATGATTTTCTTCTTATTTAAGAGACTTGACGTTCAAAATGAATGTCAAGTCATGATTTTCTTCTTATTTAAGAGACTTGACGTTCAAAATGAATGTCAAGTCATGATTTTCTTCTTATTTAAGAGACTTGACGTTCAAAATGAATGTCAAGTCATGATTTTCTTCTTGTTTAAGAGACTTGACGTTCAAAATGAATGTCAAGTCATGATTTTCTCCTTATTTAAGAGACTTGACGTTCAAAATGAATGTTGCTTCATGATTTTCTTCTTATTTAAGAGACTTGACATTCGATTTTGTATGTCAACTGTTAAAATTTCATCATTTTATGAGACTTGACATTCGATTTTGTATGTCAACTGTTAAAATTTTATCATTTTTTGAGACTTGACATTCGATTTTGTATGTCAACTGTTAAAATTTCATCATTTTATGAGACTTGACATTCGATTTTGTATGTCAACTGTTAAAATTTTATCATTTTTTGAGACTTGACATTCGATTTTGTATGTCAACTGTTAAAATTTCATCATTTTATGAGACTTGACATTCGATTTTGTATGTCAACTGTTAAAATTTTATCATTTTTTGAGACTTGACATTCGATTTTGTATGTCAACTGTTAAAATTTCATCATTTTATGAGACTTGACATTCGATTTTGTATGTCAACTGTTAAAATTTTATCATTTTTTGAGACTTGACATTCGATTTTGTATGTCAACTGTTAAAATTTTATCATTTTATGAGACTTGACATTCGATTTTGTATGTCAAGCATAAAATTTCATCATTTTATGAGACTTGACATTCGATTTTGTATGTCAACTGTTAAAATTTTATCATTTTTTGAGACTTGACATTCGATTTTGTATGTCAACTGTTAAAATTTTATCATTTTTTGAGACTTGACATTCGATTTTGTATGTCAAGCATAAAATTTTATCATTTTTTGAGACTTGACATTCGATTTTGTATGTCAACTGTTAAAATTTCATCATTTTATGAGACTTGACATTCGATTTTGTATGTCAACTGTTAAAATTTCATCATTTTATGAGACTTGACATTCGATTTTGTATGTCAACTGTTAAAATTTCATCATTTTATGAGACTTGACATTCGATTTTGTATGTCAACTGTTAAAATTTTATCATTTTATGAGACTTGACATTCGATTTTGTATGCCAAGCATAAAATTTCATCATTTAACAAGACTTGACATTCGATTTTGTATGTCAAGAATAAAATTTTATTTCGGTCGAATATTTTTTAGTATAAAAGAAAAGTTTCACTTAATTTTTCTTCATTCGCATTTCATACCTCAAAGAGTAAACATCTAAAATAATGGCTGGAAAAAATTCTAAAAAGAAAAGTGATCAAGTCGTGCAGAATAGGCCATTCTTGTGCGCAAGCTTTGATGATGGCTTGATGATGGTTGTTCACACAACATGGATAAAAGAACAGTTCAATGAGTCGCGCTATGAGGTGTACTATCCAAAAAAAATGCTTCATCCCTTGTATCAAAGAACATTCCGAAGGAAAATATCATTCTTTGGGACTCCAAGCCAGTGATTATAGAATGTTCTCATGGTATGTTTTTAAAATTTTGTTATTTTTAATAACATTTAATAATTTTTTATGAATTTATCCTCAATTTAGAAACTATGATTCAGGCTCGATGTCACCAGAAGGAACTTTCTGCTTCTGATGATGAAAGTAAGAAGCGTATCAAAGTACGCAAGGACCCACTGCTTCAAGATTTAGAGAATGTAATTAAGATCTACAACTTTTTCATTTGTTAATCATACTACTAAATTCAAATTTTCTTTTAGACTGTTCGAGATCAAACCGATGGAGATGCATCAAAGCAAGTACAAAATGCAATGTCTGTGATTGAGGAAACTGTGGCTGAGGAAACTGTGGCTGAGGAAACTGTGGCTGAGGAAACTGTGGTTGAGGAAAATTCAAGTGAGCGAATCGATCAGCTTATTGAAGGTGCGGTGACTGTTGACGATTTGAAGATAATTTTGAAATCAATGAATGGCCAATTGAAACGTAAGAATGAAGACTCTCCAACAAATGATGGTAATAAAAAGAGCAGAACCAATCCCATTGAAAAGAAAATTGCATCGATCGAGGACTTCAATATGTTCTTAATAAAAGCCACCGAATCACAGGAATATAAGGAAAATCTCGTAAGTTTCTAGTTATATACAAATATTCATTAAGTAATGTATTAATTTATTCTTTACTTTAAACAGGTTCGTTATTGGAAAAAAATGCCGGGAACTGAAGGCATGACAAAGTTTGGCAATGGAAAGCTTCATGCCATTTTATTATCAATCTTTGATTTACAGTTTTTGAACGATTCGGTTTTATGGGGAAAATTATGTGTAAAGGAGGATGCTGCAGGAGACAAAAAGCTGTATCTGAAAGTCCATGGAATATTTTTGGAAATGTTAAAAGATGTCCTTAATCTCGATGATGGAAATCCCACAAAAACTTTGGGAGACTTTATTAAAAACATCCTTAATAACAAGATTAAGCGTGACATGAAAGCTATCCTTAAGAATTCGAAAAAGAATTAAATGTAGAAAACTGTTAAAAGTAGTTTTATTGAAAGAATAAATCAGAGAAAATAATAAAGAACATTTTAAATTTATGAAATATTAATATTTTTTTCATTTTTTGTCATTTATTTCAGGATTTGAATTTGAATCATTTGATATGAATTAATATATCTTTAAAATACGCTCAGAAGCATAATCGCTTAAGTATGTTTTTGTAAACGTGAACTTTAGATCACGCTTAGTAATATATTCATTAGAGTATGCTTTAGAGTGTACTCCTATTACTATGATCTTTAAAATACGCTCAGAAGCATAATCGCTTAAGTATGTTTTGTAAACATGATCTTTAGATCATGCTTAGTAATATATTCATTAGAGTATGTTTTAGAGTGTACTCCAATTACTATGATCTTTAAAATATGCTCAGAAGCATAATCGCTTAAGTATGTTTTTGTAAACATGATCTTTAAAACATGATCAGCAGAACATGCTCTTGATCATGCTCTCAAGTTCAACTTGCATGAAAACTTGCAAGTAAAAAAAGCGTACTCTTGAGAGCGTGATTTTTATGGTACCGTACTGCGATCTCCATTTATATGGGAGAGTACGCTAATTTAGCGTCATCAAATTAAATAATTGATTTTTAAAAAGCATGTTCAGAGCGTGCTCTTTGTCTGTTAGGGGTATTTTACGTATTTTAATTCTGTTAATTGATAGTCTCATTAGTCTCATGTTTAATTGTAGCTGTGGAGCTATTACAGTCAATTAATAAATAGTATTTTTTAATGTGGATGTTGTTATAATCAAAGCATGTGTGATTCCCATTTTGGAATCCTATTATAAAGCTACCATTAGAGCTATACTGTTAATTAAATAATTAAAAGTCCTACCAACAACCGCCTACAATTCCAAAATTTACTATCATTACAAAAAAAAAAAAAATTATATATATCAACTATGTACACTTTACCTCCAGGTCGAGACCGAATAATGTTTGATGGATTGTTTTTATGTCGTACTTATCCGGCGTCCTTCCCTTTGTCAAATCAGACTTTTATTTATTTGCAATAATGAATGAATGAGAAGAAAAACATGAATAAATTATTCATCATCGGAGCTTATTTTTTGGGAAAACAAAAATCGAACAGGAAAAATTATTTGTGCGTTGTCATGAGGAGGGTAATTAAATATTAATGTCTTAATTTATATTTATCAATTATATACATAGGGTAAACCATGTTGAAATTTGTGTGTTTTTGCACATGGAGATTTGATTTGCAAATAACTTGCTAATGACTGAAGATGAAAATTTGCTTATGGGCTCAAAAGATCAATAATTGTGGGAATTTTCAGTTAATATTGTTTTTTGAAGGATATGCTGCTTATGGGAAGAGATTTTTGACATTTTCGATCAAATTTGTGCAAAAAAATGTTGAAATTTGTGCGTTTTTTAATAGCAATCTTTGACATAATTGCAATTCTTAAAAGTAAACAAACATTTTATTTACATATTTTTGGAGCAGAAATTGATATTTTGCTGAAGGAATTTGGAATATTTGAATAAACTTTAAATGAAATTAAGAACATAAAGCTGATTTGTTTCAAACCTTTTCCTCAAGAAATAATGCAAGATTCAAGATTTAACTCAGTTTGAGCTGGGTGAGTTTACAACCTCCATTTTTTTTGTAAATTTTATGCATTTGTTGTTGACAAAAATTCCCATCGCTTTCTACGACAAAAAGCGCACAAATTACAAAATTTGTAAAATTAATTTCGCACAAATTTTAACATTTACAATCAAGAAATTATAAAATCAATTTTTAAAGCACTTCCAATGATTTTTTATAACTTGAATTTCTTTTGAAACCGTATAGCAATTATCAAATTTTATATTAAAACTGTGATTTGATTACAAGCAGCACTGGTTATGTCCAAATATTTAAAAACATGAAAATCACAATTTTGTATGGGATTTTAAATTTTTCAAATTTAAAGCTGCTCCAAGCTTCGAGACTGTTCAAAATGATGTAGAAATGTTTGTACAACCGTTTTACACAGAGCTGCAAACAAAATTTTGGTTTAAATGGCTTATTTGGGCTGATTTCTTTTTTATGTGAGCGCACACATTTCAACATGGTTTACCCTACAGGTTAATTATTTTTTCCATATTGTTTTTTTTTGTGTTCGAAATATGTTTTGAGAGAAAAATTAATTTACAAAAATTGAGAATTTTTAATCATCTAATTGGAATCAAGTGGATGGGAAGCATTTGCGATACTTGTGTATTGTGTGCATTGCTTGTGCATAGATCGAAATTTACCTCTAAATCAGGAGTACCAGTAATTGGTTGTGGACGTGGTCGAATAGATGGATTAATTTGTGCTCGAGCTGTAATTGTAGTGAGGAAGGAAGAGAGTGAGAGAGAGAGAGTAAAGGAATGAATAATGAATGTGTATCTATTATTTATCAGGTTGATATCTTACATATGGTAGAGTTTGACATCATTGTATTTGATGACATTAGTAAATCCTTTTTCATTCGTTTCATTGTATTCAATCTACGAAGTTGCCATCCACGCCAAACAGATTGTATTAAAATAGCACTTCTGTTCCTGATGTGATTGCGTAGATTCTCTAAATGTTGTCTCATTCCTTCACTAAGGAAGATGTGACGTTTCCCGGGAGCCCATGAGAGTACGACCGATACATCTAATTCAAATGGATGCTCCATGGCACAATTTAAAAGCAATTTGCAATCCTCAATTGCCTTATCCTCACAACGTCTCAACATTCGAGATGAAACTAACATTTTATAGCGACTTATGAATTGCTTAAATCTCATACGATGTGGGAATCCACTTGCCATTAAATTAACAGTTTCCAAAATCTGTAAGGCACGGATTTGTCGTACGGCTGTATTACGTTCAAAGAAATTTGGAAGCTCATTCGAATTACTTCGTATACAACGTACAAAATGCGGTCGACTCATGACAAGAGTCCTTAAAAGATTATCTAGGCGTGTATGAAAGTCTTGAGTTAATGTCGAAACTGGTTCATCCCCATTTAATAAATCAGTATGGGATGTCGGAGCGATTCTAAACCATGTCCCGCGAGGCACATTTTCGTGTGAATATAATGCACGCAATTCAGCCCCAAATAAATGCGTAGCAAATCCAAATTGACAATTGTGCTTATAAAATACAGAAACTAAGTCGTCACTTATTATATCTCTATTAGTATCAAGGAAGTCACTGGCATCATAAATTACTTGGCCATAGAAATGGCGAATGATAAACATTCGTGAATCTAAATCTATATGTCGTTGTTCAAGTCTAGGTGAATTGCGGTGTTGAACTTTAATTTTAGCAACATAACTCTCAGCAGTTCCACGAATGGAGCATTCGGAATCCAGAAGACTTAACAAACCAGTACGTAGTGATGATATTAAATCAATGCAAGGTACGTTATCAACATAGTCAATTTCACTGTCACATATAATACCTTCGTCCCTGCATGATTCTACTGAACTTTTGAATATATGAGTATTGTAAAAATGCTGCATTGTTTCTGCACATAAATTTATACACAAGTGTTCGAGTTGTGCAAGCTTTGGCTCTTCGAATCCAAACATATCGAGGATACCAATAAAACCGTCTGTTGCATGACGAACAACGTTATTTAATACTGCCATTTGATTCATTGATTTCGCTGAATGTCCACCAACCGTTGACGCATGTTGACTATTTACCTCTGCCTGATTGTGTACGGACTCGTTTGAATCGGAACTTAAAGTCCCCGAGCCCAATCTATAGAGAGAATGCATATATTATTTAATGTGTGAAATATGCAAATTGTTTTAGAATAAAACATAAAGTTTTTGAATTTAATGGAAATAAATTTTTAAAATTTTTGCAATAAAAATTTTTTTTATGTCAAAAGTTTCATGCTCACCTTTTCAAACTGTTTGCCCGCCTTACAATTGTAGCAACAGTTCGACAATAAAGAGCTTTCGCTAATGAATCTCTTGCTATGTTTGACATGTTTGCATCGCAAACAGATTTGATTAATTGTCCTCGTGTGTTGTGTGTACGTGTTGTTAATCCTCTGTGAATATATTAAATGTATAATTTTTGTCTATATTTCTATTTAATTTAAGACAGTGGCGTAGCTTGGGTGATGATTCAACAACACACCTCCTCCCCTTCTCAAAAATTTTTTATTAAATAAAGAAAAATTATTTAAAATTGATAATTTTTTAAAGGATGGACCCCCTCTCTACAAAGTTTAAGCTACGCGACTGTTCTAAGATGCAACAACAAAACAGATATCAAATTACCTAAATAATGATTGCGACGAAACACCGAGCAGATTAGCTACCGAATTTAATTCTGATTCATTATTTGTTTCAACCTCAGAGCGCTGCGGAAGTAGGAAAAATGCCTTTATGAGCAAAAAATAAGCATTAATTAAGACTAAAAGTCTCACCTGGTTATCAACGAATTTCACATTTCCTAATAATAAAACTGCCGATAATACACGAACAACATCTAAAAATGGAATACCTAAAATCCCCAGACAAGCTTTCCATGCTTGAAACCTTGCTGCATCTTCCTGTTCATCCTGTATGTGTGGATTATCATAATCGCTTAGCAAAAAATCGTTATCATAAATATTAGTTCCTTAATGTACCTGTCTTGTATCTCCTATTTGTAAATAATTTAAATCTTTTGCCTGATAATCTGTGAGACATAATCTAGTACGTTCCTCGTCACTTAAGCCAGAGAGCATTTGATAAAAAATGTGATAATTCTTTTCGTTTGGCAAGGGTCGTATGACACGTGTTTGATCCAAAAAATAGCAATGGATTTTTGTTCGATATAAAGCACCGTCCGTTACTTGAACTTCAATGAATTGTCCCTGATTTTGTGAGAGAAAAATTTATATTAATCTTGTCATATTAATGTCAAATGTTAATGCTACTTACAATTCTACTCGATTCAGAGTTTGTTGCTGTCGCCGCAGAACCAAGCGATCGTAATACAGTAAAAGCAGCAGCCAAGTGTTTAAAAGCATCAGTCTCAGGACCTCCACCAGCAACAGCAAATAACTGTCGGAGCAACAACATTGAACAATGTGTTTTTCCGGAACCAGATGTGCCAGACAAGATGATAGCCTGCGGATATCCTGTTTCTGTTTGCTGTCGTACAGCTTCTTGTACGATTCTAACGAGTTGCGGTGCCATGGGAATTGAACGTGTTGATGATAATGTCAATGGATTTCCGACATCATGATATGGGTTGATTGAGAGCAATATTGGCCCGATATTTGTCTAGTGATGTGATAGAATTTTAGGAACAAGTGATGATTTATAATTAATGGATGAGTTTCAAGATAGAGGATATTGATTTTCAGCTCAATTTAAATATAAATTCCTAAGACACTTTATGCTATCAAAAAAAATGTGATTTCCCGCGAAAAATTCGCATCAACGCCCGTCCGTCAGCGAAAAAGAATTTCAAACAATCACAAAAAAGTGTCAACGCATGAAGAAAATGCAAGCACAAAACATCAGAAAAATGCGCCAAAACTGAATGAAACAATAACAAAAAGGAACTTACAAAAAATTTCTTCTCGTTAAATCGAGCCTGTAAACTTTTCATTACAGCATCTTCCGTCAATGGACCAGTCAAGTAAATCAAATCTTCCATCTCACTTATCTTCATATTGGGATTGCCACTCTTAAACGTGTTCGACATACAATTGCTATTCCGAATTTCTTCTTCATGATCAGAAAAAGTTAATGACGAGAGTAATTAAGCAATTAATTAAAACATTATTGATGAAAATTCTTGAAATTTCTTACCTTTCACGGGCGATTGTGGAGTATTAATCAATTGTGTTTGTTCCTCATGATTCTTGGGAAGTGGTAAAGGTATGGAAATATTCCTCGTTGTAACAACGTGATCGGCGTTGTTGTTATTATATTGCTGATTATTATTTAAACGTCGCGAATGAATGTTGTTGTTTAATGGTATTGAACCTTTCATACTGTTGTTGGTAGTGCTATTGTTATTATTTGTTGTATTATTATTATTATTGGTTGTTGCCGTTGTTGTTGTTGTATTATTATTATTAGTATTATTGTTAGTTGTGCTGCTATTATTATTATTATTGTTGTTGCTGTTTGTGCATATTGCATTGCTATTATTCATATTTGAAATGTTTATGTTGTGTTGTAATGTAGCTGCTGTCGTTGTCGTTGTTGTTCCCTGCTATAAAAATATATATATATTTTTTAAGGCATTACAGTTTTGTGTCAAAATGAGAATTGATAAAAATCAATTTACCATATTCTTTCCAGTCAGTAGATTCAAATTAGGATGTGGGAAATTTGTGCAATTTATAATTGGATTATTAGCATTTCCATTAGCCGTTGTTGATCCAGTAACATGTAATCGATTGCGAAGAGTAACTAATTCTGTGCTTAAACTTTTCAAACGTTGTTGGAGATGAACAGCTTCGTTCGATGAAGAAGCATCTAAAAATATTTTATTAGTCGAATGGAATAGAAAAATAAAAGAGAGAAATTAATATGAAATTTTTTTGGAATATGTGTTTCTAATTCAGGCAGTGCTGTGGGACCTCTTTGTCTTGATTGTAGACAGTTGATTAGGTATACCCAACAAGTTAAAAAAATTATTTTGTATAAATTGTCACGAAAATTAAAAGACTTTATTAAATGTGCCATATCACACAAGTTGAGCACGTGTGACCACAGATGTTGATATTAAGCAGAAGATTTGTTTATATGATATGTAAGTAGGTGAGGATTTGGGAGAAAAATAATTAAACGACTTATCAAGACTTCCAAAAAATAATCAGAAATGCGAGAAGATATTTTGAATTTTTATTTTAATTAACCTTTGACAATAAAATTTCTATATTTTAAACCAAATTTTATAATTATTATATATTCTATGACACTCGATTTTGGTGGGTTGAACAACAATTTTTGTTTTGGGTCTCGAAAATTGGCAATGGTCATAAATAGATCAGCAGATAAAGTTCAATATTCTCGAATGACATTAAAAAAGAATGTGAATGAAATTGAAGAAAATGTTGTAAATTCTTCGAATAATTAAATTAATGGACAACAATTTCATTACGTACGATATGACACGAGAGATATTAAGACTTTTAATATAAATAATGTAAAAAATTTTAATGTCAATAAAGAAAGAGAATATGATCATGAAAATCAGGCATTTATTGTTTTATGGGATGTAAGTTGTCTTTGATGAACAATGGAATATGAAATAAAATGTTGGAATTCTTGGAGGAATCTGGATGTACAGTAGTATTAAGATTTTATAAAAAGCTTTCTGATATTATTGAATTACATATTTAAGTTGTAAAAGATAATAAAGTCTGACATGTGCTTAATGAGTGTTAATTAAGAAATAACATTTTTTGTAGATTTGAATTTTTCAAGGGTTCGGAACTGATGAAATGATCAAAAATGATAAAAATGTAATTTATCAGTTCCGCACACTTAGAATTTTTCTAAAATATGTTGACTTATTTACAAATTTTTGAAATCATAATTTACTTGAAAACTGCAATTGGTGGAGTTTTAAGGATGATAAGTTAAGTTAAATGCTTTGCTCACTCTCAATTAAGAGTTTTCAATAATTTAGATGTTTGATTATTGCGTTAACAAGCCAAAATTTAAAGAAAAACTTTTGATGTGGAAATTTTTTTTGATGTGTTTTAAAAATTTCCATTTATCGCAAATTTCAATCAAAACCCCTGAAAATCATCAATTCCAGCAAAACAAAGTAGAAATTATGAATTTCTATGAAACTATTTAAACCCAAAATATTTTTACAACCGCAAAGATTAGAGCATTGGACGAATAATTTCACTCAATATGAATAAATTAATAATGATTATGAAGAATAAAACAAAAATTCACACACATCCAAAAAAAATGTGAGTTCATTAACAATTCTTTAACGATTGAATTAGATTTGAAGATCCAGATAAATTCACAAATCAGATAATGTCCAAGAAGCAGGAACAGCAATGCAATAAAAATGTAAATTTCATAACCTCCGCAATGGTTAGTGTTGATTATTACAGACAAAAAAAATGATCGAATTAAGAGTGAATTTTAATTAAAATGCACAATAGCAAATCAATGACTTAATGATTCAATTTGAAGCAGACTTAAAAGCGCAGAAGCCATTAATGAAAAAAAAATAATTTAAAGACATAAATAACAACAATAAAGTAATGTTATTTAAGGGATTTTCTCATATTATTTAAAACTCAATTGGCAACTTACTATGGTCAAAAGTGATTCATTGTTCAATAAAGAAAAGAGTAAGCCTACAATGAGACAAAATGAGGACGATGATTGCCTTTTCACAAAAATATGCGAAATATTTCCTTAATGTTGCTCGCGAAAATAAAAAATGAGAATAAAATTCTTGAGATGCCCGAGAATAATAATGACGAAGAGAATTAAATTTTATTATTGCTCGCAAATGAATGAAATATCAAGTCAATCAGTCAAGACTTTAACTGATAATAATAAGCACAGGGCAGGAAAGGAATACGAACAATTTTATGCATCTTCCGAAGTACAAATTTAAATTCATTTCTCCACGTTTTATGATATTCAAAAAAAAGAAAGAAAAAAAATAACTTATAAGGTGAAATTTAAATAAAGAGAAAAAAAATTCAAAACCAAATACGAGTTCGTCGCTTATATTTTTCTTGAAACAAGTCTTGAGTTTTTTTTTATGTTTTAACTAACACAAGTAAACAATAACTTTGCGTTGTTGCTTTCAAGTCAGATTCTCTCTCTGTGCTGTGTGCTAGCTGGATGGGCTTAATTGTCAATCTTATCAATATTTTTGAATTGAAAGTCATTAAAATCTACATAAATTTTACTATTTCTAATTCTATGGCTCGCAATTTATGAAATTATCTCATATTTGGTGTCGAGTCTTCTTATTATTCCCCATTCATATACCTTACAGGCATAGAAGGAGAAGAGAAGAAAAAAAAAATTAATAATATTAATCCACATACCTTGTAACATTTTTTCAGTTTGCCAAAACTTTTGTAGTTCTTTAAAATATTTATCCAGAATAAAGACTTTTGATAATCCAATATTCGAGGCCATTTTCAAGCCTCAACTTCGACTTCCTTAATCCAAAATAGTTTATAAATTTATCCACTTTTATTTTCATTTATGAATTCCATTAAACCTTAAAGATTGAACCTTCTGACACGTTTGAGAAAAATTTATTTTTTTCAATATTCAACAATCTTTTCTAATTGCTAAGCTAGTGCACTTGTCACATATCAAATATTTTTCATTTGCATTTTCACATCCAAACAAAAAAATTGGAAATCTTTTTTTTTATTATTATTATAAAAACCACAAAAAATATAAAAAAATCATTTTAGAGCAAAAAAAAAGAAATTTTCGATTCGTTCGCATTAAGCTTTCAAAAAATACTGAGAGGCAGGCACAGAAACTCTCAACATAAACCTGTTGAATTTGAATTGAGTAACAAGCAGAGAAAAAAAATATAAACAAGATTAATGTTCTGGGGTATTTTAATGTTATTGCAGGCTTATGTCACAAAATTTGTTCCTTTTTATGAATTAGAAATTTTATTATTTTTCATCATGTCCATTCTTTGTTCCTTTAATTGCTCTCTTGATTCAGAAATGTTCGGAATTTTTGACTTTTTTCGAGTCTAATTTTTATTTTCTCAAATATTCACAGTCAATGATGGAACTTCCTCAATTTTATTATCTTTTATGAATCATTGGAATTTAAATTTTTATTTATTGCACATTTTGAGGATCAAAATCTTTGAGATAATTTTAATTTTTTGTAAGATTTGACACTTGTTCCTTTTTCTACGTGATTACTGTTGAGATTATTTACAGGGGGTATGAAAAGTTTGAAACTTGTTGCTGTTAAATTCTTCAACATCTTCATACTTCATATTCTAGATTTTTTTTTATTCTTTCAAGTTTAGGTGAGATTGATGGCAAGGCTGTTCAATCCTCACATCATTGAATTGTTTAGATTATTCAGGATACATCTTATTAAGAATCTCTAAAGTGATCAATTTGAATAAAAGTTGAAATCATATTCTACATTCAGTTTGGTGACCCATAGGCTGCAATGGAAAAATGTCCGACTTTCTCCGTCTTCATTACGTCATTGATCAGCATTGATCATATTCTTAATAAAATTAAATTAAGTTTTGATTTTTTCTGATACGAACAATTCATGTTCGACAGACTTATCGAAAGTCTAGGGGAGTTATAATATGCACGTTCGAAAAGTTTAAATTTGAAAGAAACCGTTACAATTTTAGTGATTTTATTAGAGTTCTTGATCGTTTTAAAAAAGATTCAGCTATATTATGCTTATCATTCAATGACTACATAATATTTTCATCTAAATTTCATACACAACTTGTTTAATTTAAGTTTTTATTTTTTGTAATTTTCGAAAATTTCAAACTGCAGGGCAGACTACCGCCATTTCGTTTCGGACTTCTTCGAAATTAATTTCGATTTCTTCGACATTAGAGCCGAAAATTCAAATTTCAAAAAACAGTTGCATTATGTAAACAATAAATTATTTTAATTAATACCAATTCTGCACAAATCCCAAAGTTCTTCATAAATTATTAATTTTATATTTTTTTTATCCATTCTCAACTTTATTAAGAATAAAATTTGAGCAAAATGAGTAAGTGCATGATTAAATCGGGTTTAACCGTCAAAAATTTTTGAATATTATAACGCCCATAAAAAATTTGAATTTTTTTGAATATAAATTTAACGGATGTTATATGAAATGACGGTAGTCTGCTGCAGGGTATGAAACTTCAAATTTTGTATGGCAGACAGAAAAATAAGACATTTTCACAAGTTTTCTTGGAAACTGTAACGGTCGAAACTCTTGAATTGTTCGTATCAGGATTTTTTAATATGATTCAAGAACTGATTTAATTGCAAATTTAAGTTTATGTTAAGTTTGATTGAGAATGTGAAAAGTTTCGTCCAGGATAATTAATCAATAGATTTTTGAGTTTCGAACTCGCTGTAAAAGCATAAACACACAAAGATTTGAACTATTGACGAAATATCTTACACTAACCTAGTAACAAGATCGTCTTAAGTAGTTAAAAGATCAATGCTTTAAAAATTGTACAATTTTTAACACCCCCCCCCCCCCCCCCTCATCCAACCAATGTTGATATACTTCAATACTTTAATATTTATTTGGAGCCTTATTTTGAGTCAATATTTTATTACAAATTCTACAGCAATTTGTTTTTACAAAATAACATTACAAAACTTAAAATTTAGCATCACATTTTATACAATTTAGAATATTAAATTGAAATTAAAATCAATTTTTGACTAGATTTTAAATATTTTTTGATAATTTGTAAAAAACATAATTTTAAAAAACGGTCAAAAATTCATAGAAAATTTAATTCTAATTTATAGCGCCATCTATTTATAGTCATTGAATTTTATAACATAGAACATAGTTAAATATGCTTTAATTAACCATAAATTCTATAAAATTATTATGGAAAATTAAAAAAATCATAAAATTTTCATCCCTCAAATACTTTAACTATCCTGATTATAACTTAAACATAGCCTTCATGCTGTATCATTTTTTTGCCATTAATTCATAGATAAGCAATCAGATGGCGCGAGGTTTGCATTGGAATGTGTGAGGTTCTATTTGTGAGTTTAAATTTCGAGATGTCGTTAAGTTCAAAAAAAGAAGAATATGCAGCATAAAAAATTATGTTCATATGCATGCGTTAGACTCAACTTGTGTAATGGAAATAAAAGATGATAAAAAGCAAATTTTATATTCTCCATAGTAACGAAGAACAGCCGTTTGCAGCGCTACCTTTCATTACTAATTCATAAGAAATTTAAAATGTCCTTCGACATAAGGACTGAGTCAACCGGTGTTGACGATGAATTTTTAATGATATTGAAACGGAAAAGGGAATTAAGACATTGAAGGATATTTTTTTTAAGAATTTTCAATTAGGACATATTTTTTTTATTATTTAACTATAAAAGAGCAACATTTTAGAATAATTGAGAAATTAGAAAATTTTTTGGAATAGGATTATTAATAATAATAATAATCATAATAATAATTTTCATCTTTTTTGCCTTTAAATTTGTTTTTACTACTTTCATTTGACTTTCGTTCATCAAACTTATTTGATTTTCATCTTGTTTTTGAGCCTGAAGTTTTTTTTTTATTTTTCATTATTATTATCATCATCATTCAAGGTGTATTAGGTTTGGGAAATTTGATAGATTTTATCATGAAAGTACATTTGTATTTTGATGTTTGAAGTATGACCTTGATATTTACAATCACAGAATATTATACTGCAATTAGCTAAAATTAACGGCTTTTTAAATTTTGAAGAAAAAAAATTATGAGATTTCAAATAATTTTTGAACGTTACAAATTTAAATAAAATTTTACCGTTATAATGTTGCTGAACCCATCGAGTCCCCAAAATCCTTCCAAATTTCCCAAAATCACTACACCTTGACATAATCATTGTTATTAATTACTTTATTATCATTTTTTTCATCATTTCTGCACAAAATTAAATTTATGGAATTTCATTTTATTGGTATTTACGTTATTGTTGTATTTTTTAATTTTTCGATTTCTAACTATATGCTATATATTTTATCGCAATGCGAATCAATTTACAAAAAAATTTTGAATTTTTTCATATTTATTTTTATTTTATTTTATTTTTATCTTTTTCATCTTCTTTCTTATCATTTTCACGTGAGTTGTGGTTTACTAATAATCGAGAAAACTTAAAAGAACTTAATATTGAACATAATGCATTTCTATTTTGATCCATATAAAATATTCCTTATGAAGTCTGTATACGTAGAGCTTTGTGTGTGTTATGGAAGGGAAGTGATTTCATCATTCTATATATTTTCTTGTATATCGAACAGTTTGTAGGAGGAAGTAGTATTTGTTTTGTTTCATTATCAAGGCTGAGAGTTTTCAACCAATTGATTAGATCTGTGTGTAGCCAATTTTACTTCCATTACAATTCTATATGTTGAATCAGGCTTATTCTTTCATTTTGTTTTAATTTCATGATAATAAAAAAAGAAACAAAAAAAGTTTTTAAATTATTGACTTTTGTCTCATAAATAACGAATAATAATTAGGCAGTTAACGTATTTCCTTATTTTCACATTTATTTAGTATTTACAAAAGAACTTTTTTTCCTCATCTTTCCATTTTCTCTTTCTTGCGTTAAACAATTTTTATTTAAACATAAGATTTCAATTTTTTAAATTCGAAAAGAAGGAATAATTAATTAACTTCTCAGAAAAGATAAAAAAAAATTAAAATCAAAAAATGATGGAAATTATAAATCAAATAATTTTTACAGTTATATACATTTTTTATCCTCTCTGGTTTTTTTCTGGTAGAAACTGAAATCGCCTTAAAATTGCTTATCAGGAAATGCTTTTTTGGCATATACAAGATCAAGGTTAACGGCTAAGTAGCATTGATTCAATGATGACCTTGAAAGTTTCTTGGATTGGAATCTTCAGAACCATACAAATTATTTGTAATACTAAACTTTTGTATGGCTCTAGCTATCATAAAACTGTTGTATTGTTTCAAAATAATTTCCACAATGTTTCAAAACCTTACAACAGTTGTTCAAATTTTGAAACTTTTGTGTGGTTTTGAAAGCTTTACAAATGTTTTCAGAAATATTCGAGATTTTGAGCTCTAAATTCATATTTTTAATCTAGATTTTAGATTACTTTATGTCAGAAAATAGTGTCTCCTAATTCTAATTAAAAAAGTGAAAAATTGTCAATTTTTTGTCAAAATATTTGAAAGACGTCTGAACAATACTAAGCACTAAGAACACCGATAAAGTCAATTCTAAAGCAATTCCAGTCCCAATTTTTGTTTTTACAATTTCATTCAACTCGATTTTTTCCATTTTTATAAATTAAATAACTTAGCAATACATCACTTGCAAGACAGTATTTTTCAATCATCTTTCTATTATTATTATTTTTATAATTTTTATGTTTTTTTCGTTCCAATCTTCAGTATTTATAACATGTAATTTTCTTGTTTAATGAAAGCTGAAATTTCTAAACAGCTACAGTTTTTTTTTATTTCATCAGTATCATTTCATTGATTAGTTTTATAGTTTTTTTTTGTATGCTCATAATATGCTAGCGTATAAGAGAAAGAACGATAATTTTGGATGATTTTTACTTTTTTTCACTTATTTATGATAATTTTACAAAAGACAGATTTTTTTTTAATTATGCGTTGCTCAACACTCTAATTCACGTCACATTCTTGTTACCTATTGTATTTCCATTGTTTTTTTTTTTTTGATATTCATTCAATATAATAAAGTCACAGCATATGTTCTTATATATCTTTTTTTTTAAAAAATGTGATAAATATTGTTATCCCTCATTCATTCATTCAAGTTTACTATGCAAACATAAAAATTTATTAAGATGAACTAGATTGATTCATGTTTCCAAACATTCCAGTTGAAAATGAAGTTTGTCCTGCTCCACTACTTCCCTGATTTCCACCCGAACATGTTGGTGTACTTAGTTGCGTCGATGATTGTTGTTGCTGCATATTTGATGAACGACCATGCTTTGAAACTGGAGGCTGTAAATATTCATGTTTCGCAAGCGCAAATACATCCATTCTATCTTCTTTTCGATATGCTAAGCATCCCCTTATGAAGCTCTAAAATTCACATATTCACAATTATTACTATTATTGGTTGACGAACTCAACGAATTAAAACTTACCTTTGCTTCATTTGAAACTGTAGGTTTATTAGGAAATTGAACTTCAGTCGCCTTAAGTATTGTATTTTCTTCTAATATAGTTGCTTGTGATTGATTATGACCAAAAGGTTTCTTTCCATAAAGACATTGATAAAAAATTACACCCACCGACCAAACATCTACTTTTGACGATATTTTGGGAGGATTTTTACCAACTACAAAACACTCGGGAGGAAGATACCTGTTAGGATGAGACAATAAAGCATAAATTGAATTATTTATGTTCTCTAGAATTCAGGTAAGAGTTGAATCCATCTTTTGTTTACAAAAATCACACAAACAAACACAGACAAGACTTGCTGCTTGCTTGATTGTGTTTGTGTAGCACTAAAAAACATCTGGATTATGACGAAACATAGACATAGATACTCACCAATAAGTTCCCGCTCCTTGCGATGTTAAATCCATACCGTGATCTGGATTATAATTCTCCTCGTCCATCACTTTCGATAGACCAAAATCAGTGATTTTAATCTCTCCACAAACATTACCCTCAGTCAATAAAATGTTGCCTGGCTTCAAATCATAATGAATTATAGGCGGTTTAATTTCATTTAAATATTTTAAAGCAGACACAACCTTGAAAAAAGTACAGAATTATTAATAAGGTGACAATTCAGTTTGAAAAATAAAAAAACAATTAAATAAATAGCACGAGAAGTAATATTGATACTTACTTGCATTATAATTGCTCTTGCTTCTTTCTCAGGAATTGTTTTATGTTGTTTAAGGTAAAAATCTAAATCATGCCCATCACAATACTCTAGCACCGTACAAAATGAATTTGCATCAATCTCGAACACATCATAAAGTTTTACTACACGAGGATGATCAAGTGCTTTATGAATGTTATATTCTCTAAGAGCATGTCTGGAAGAGTCAAGGAAATGTTTTATTATTAGAGTATTGTTATCAGCCATTAAAATCGACGACAGTACGCATTTTTGCTTTAACCGATTATGGAAGTGAATGAAAATAAAAAACAATTTCATAATCATTTGTTGATTACATTTTACAATATTTATGAGATTTTTGTTTTTCATTCTACTCGCGATTTTTTTTACTAGGTTCACTAACGTATTTTAAGTAAACAAACGTTTACTCTCGCGTGATCGATTCACAGTTATTAATTTCACTTTTTTCAACGGTTATTAATTTGAATTTTTGAACTTTGACAAAATTTGAACTTTGATTGACTTCATTTAAATTTCAAAAGTTCGTTAATTTTTAATTTTTTAAAACCGTTCAATCACATTTTGATTGTTTTTTGGTCTTAAGAATTTCACTGCCCAATCCGTCGAATTGCACTATTTTCATTATTCACACGGAATAGCTTTGCGATTTTTTTTTCACAACAAAAATGCAAAATCTTCTTTCTAATTCACTGTTTAATGTGTATGTTGTATCCAAGTTGGAAAAAAATTTAATGATGAAATACTTTCACAAGTACTATATAGCACAAAAATCAAATGAACTTCCTCTAAAACAACTGTACATATTTATGGTGAAAAAAGAAAACAAAATGATTCTCTGACTCGGATCGGTCAACTAGCTACACAGTCAAAAAAAATCGTAGACATTTGTTTTTTTTTCTGGCAAAAATGCGGCTGTTGAGCTTGCAAAAATATGAAAAATTATCTTACTTTATATAATTGGCTTTTTTATCTTCTTTCCAGTCTTTGTTTAGTTGATGCACTTTACAAGCTACGTATCTTTGTTCTTTGAGGTCAAACGCTTTATGTACTTCCGAAAATCCACCTTTACCCAAAAGCATTAGCAATAAATATCGTTCATTTAAAACTGGATGATTACTAAAACGGGACTGCAAGACAAGAATATTGGACATTAGACATGAATGCGTTATTTAAAAATAAAAAAATAGTAATGTCTTACTTGGTCTTCATTATGGATTCTCTTAAGTTCGCGAATGTGCAAATTCCGCTCGCGTTCTAATTTCTCCATTTCCAATTGTAAATCAGCATCTTCTTTCTTCAGTGCATTGTGCCTTAATTTTAAAATTTCATCACATTCATAATACTCTTGCAATGTAAATGTTGAACTATTTCCAACAGGTTCGGGCTTTAGGAACGTCGCATCACCGCCATTATGGAGATTTGATGACGATGCTACCGCTGGAGCGGGAGATGATGTCGTTGATGTGTTCCTCTTACGTCCACCTTCATTTGTTGGACGCTTTTTAACAAGTGACTTTTTCTGACGATCAATCTCCTCTCGTTCGGATGTGATTTCTTCTTGTCGTCGAGCAAGTTCTTGAAAAGCATATCCATCAGTCCAATTCTCTTGAAATGTTGCACCAACTCGCTGTGTCACAAATTGACCTAATCGCAGCCTATTTTGCATACACTTCTGGCGAGCTTCCTTCTTCTCAATATTACTTTTTTGTTTTAACAAATTTTTAACAACTTCAATACATTTATTTATGTGACTTTTCTGTTGTTCAATAATCTTTTGATGAGCATTAATTTGAGTCTTTTGCTCATCCGATGCTCTCGTCATATCGTCCATTTTGGTTTTATTTGTCTCCACATCCGTTTCTCGATCTGTCATATCGGTTAGAGTTAAATCAGTCTGGACTGATTTTGATACCATCGTTGGACACAAAAGAGCACCGTGCGCAAGCGATTGCTGATTATTTTGATTATGATGAAGCATATTTATGTGATTTGATTGTTGTTGTTGCTGTTGCTGCTGCTGCTGTTGTTGTTGTTGTGATGCTGATACGGATGATGTTTGTTGTTGTGTATTGACAACAATACTACCTGACGTTGACATTATTGGCTGTACGACCTGCACGGATGTACTTGTTAAAGGAATTAAACTATTTACAGCCACAACCTGATGATTTGTCACGACAACAGGAGATGATGGTGGCGGAAGTTGTTGGGTATTTTGCTGTGTTTGTTGTTGAATTTGTGGTGAAACCATTGGATTTGATGATGATCGAGATTTAAAATAGTCTTGATTATTGAGTGATGGATGGACAAGTGGCGGTTGTGGACTAGGTGGAAACATTGGATATGTTCCATGTTGAGGCGATGGACTTTTTGCTCCTGTAAGTCTATTACTTGCCGTGTGCTTTGAGTGAAAATATTCATTTATTTTCTTGTCATTCACATTTGGAATCGTAATACGTGGACCTTTTGAACTATGGATACCATCACGCATATTTACATCATTCACACTTGTTATACCCGCTCCTATTACTGTATTTCTAACATTTCCAACATTACCCGGACCATTCCCATTATCCTCAGTCGGTTTTCTCTTTCTTTTCCTCTCCGATTGTTGTCGTGGTAATTTCTCTGGCGTATTATTAATTATTGCTTGATTTATTATTACATCTCTTTCTAATTCTTTATCGCTATGTGATGAACCAGTACTCATATTCGAATCCTGATTATTTTGGGCACTAGATGCTGTTGTTCCTGTTCCTCCTATTATCGAATGACTTGGATTTTGATTAACTTGTACTAATGTCGATTGAGGTGCCATTTGCAGCTGAGTTGTTGCAGACATCTAAAATGAAGTGAAACAAAAAAAAAAGACGAGAAAAAAATTATTATCGAATATATTCGTGTGGAGAATGATTTTTTTTTTCTCATATATGAGAGATGATGATAAGAAAACTAAGAAATGAAATAAAATTGAAATTTAATAAAAATGGATAAAAGTGAATAAAATTTAAATATTATGGTCAGCAGCCATATTATACAGCACGAAATGATAAGCATTTAATATAAATTAATTTACACGATAAAAATCACAACGATTCTCAATAAAATTTTTTTTCTTTTTCGCTAAAAACAATATGGACGACATTAAATGTACATGAAAAATTTTTGTATCATACTTTTTTTTCATTCCTTTTTACATTTTTAGCGAATGAAGGAAGTAAATTATGTCCAAAGTTTCTTTCATTTCAATTCAAGATGGCGAATAGAAGATGAATTGATATTTTTTGACTAACTTCTTTTTATTATAAATATTTTCTTGCTCTTTCAACGAGTTATCATATAATAATTGATCGGCTTAAAAATATGTGAACTCTCACTCATAATTTTTTTTCCACTTTAATTTTTTTTTTACTTTTTTTTTCTTTCAACAAACACACTGGGGTCTCGTATGGTAGCAATATTCACTGTTCATGATTGTATTTCAACTTTTTTTTTGATTTTGATATCCAATTCTAATTATTTCAAATTCTAGACTTTTGTGCAACAAAAAGTGAGACCTTATTTAATTTTAAATATTTTTTGGATGGAAAAAAAATAAGTAATTTAAAAGGAAAGCAACTAACTCAGATGTAAATGTGTCAGAAAATCACCAAATTCATTCATTCAAAAATTGTACACTCGTCTCTAATATTATTCTCATCTACAACTACATACAACATCTTTCAGACGGTTGTAAAAAAACATCTTATGTGTGTCGATATATGGATAGATTTCAAATACATTTAAAGTTTATGTTTATATGTTTGCGGCACAACTCTCCGTTACTCTCATTTTTTTTTTATTTTCTGATTCCTTTTTCTTTATAATTATTTTTGCTATTGTTATTCCTCTCTTTCTCTCTTTTGTTTCTCTCAATTCTTCTTCTTCTTTTTCGTACATATTTAACTGAACCGAAAAGAATTCTTTTTGTCAAAGATAAATGTTCTATCGGGGAAAAAGGAAAGGAACTACTACTATAATCGAGTTTTGTGTATCCACTAAAAATAACTTATTCTTTCTTTTGTTGCGATATGTTCAGTTACCAAAAAAAAGAAAAATATATATCAGTCGTCTCTTGAGATTGCACACATACTATAGTGAAACCACGTGGGTTATTCGTTATTCGTTTATGACCGCGCAATCATTTCAATTTTTTTTCCTTTCTTTCTTTTCTTTCTTTTTTTTTGCTCTACGTACATATTATTATTATATCTTCTAGTTTTTTTTTCATTTCTACATTATGACGTCACGGTATTTTTAATATGGCTGACTGCAATATATTTCCAATACCCATAGAGATTACTAAAGCATTTTAAATCATCATCATCAATGATCTTATGCATGTATGTTGTTTTATTTTATTTTATACATTTTAAAAATATTGGATTAGCATCCACAATTAAAGATCTACGCTATAATCATCGCATCAACATTTTCTTTTCTACTTTTCTTCTCTCTCTTTCTCCTTCTCTGATTCACAGACTAAAGGGCCCGAAAAAAATGTACAATTCTTTTTTTTTGCTTCGTCTCTTTCCTATTGCTGCTTATCACATTATTGTATTAATTCTTGCAAGTTGAAAGAAGAAAGAAAAAATATGTCACATTCAATAATAAAAGCAGTGAGAAAGCCGAGAGCTACATTCAATAAAATTGCTTAGGTAGTATAGGTTGTTGATTTGTTGTTTGTATTGAGTAAAAATTTTTTTTTTGAGCTGATAACAGAAACAATATTAATGCAAAAAAAAATGTCCAAAAAACTTTTTTTTTCTCTTCTCTTCCTATGAATTTTTATCAATTTGCTTTAACTCAATAGAAATTGCTATGAGTAATGGAATATTTTCGGGGAAATGACCTTAGCGCACTTTTTGCACTCCATTTTTTTTTTCTTCGGTCTTGCATGCTTATAATTCATATTTCATTGCTGAGTTTTTATTAAATAGGTAACGGATTTTGAGGATTTAAAATATTAACGATATTATAAATTTTGAAATTCTTTCGTTAAGATTTTTTTGTTGAATGAACTGAACAAAAATGAATGCACGATTCCTTAACGACTAAACTGAACGAAAATGAACTGGATTAATGAATAAACTCAAAAATGAACTGGAATGAAATGAACAAACCGTTAATTACTCAATTATATGTAATATATCAGCTCAATCCTGACTTAATCACTCAAATTAGCTTGCTGACTATAAAATATTCCTTGAATTCACTCAATTAAGCTTTTGACCTTGTAAGTTATTCCTAATTCTTATTTTTTTCATCGACATTTAAAGCTTATGATTTTCAAAAACGATTGAAATTGCGTCAACACATGATCACTAAAGATGTATTATTTTAATAAAATGACAATACTACAAAATAATAATGGTATTAAAATATGTATCAAGTAAATTACCCAGTCAAGATTATTTGACAAACAATCACAAAAATGCAATATCATTGCATCAAAAATGCACTAGAAAACTTCTCGAGAATGAAAAAAAAAATGGAAAAATTCACTCCAGAACGATCCAAATTTATGCAAAATTAAAATCGATTAAATTTTCTTTCATCCGAAATCCACAGGAAGAGGAGACTTTTAAAGAAAATTCTAATAAATTTTCTATTGACCTAGTGCTCCCCCCTACATCACATCACAGTACAATATTATATCCTCAAATATTTTTCACTTTAATCACATCATTTCATATTTCATTAATTTCATTCAATGAATTAAAAATCACTGACTGAACGACGAGAAAAAATAATAACGAAGTTTTACAATTTGTTTGTAAAAACACACTACTGCTGTATAGAAAGTATCAGATTAATTCTTTCAGCCGCATAAAAAAAATGAAGAGGAAAAAAATTCATTTGCGTGAAAATATTTTGTCTATACAGTATGTACCCTTGCCTAACACAAGCAAAAATATGAGAATCTTTCGTAAAAACGAGAGCAATGAAATTACAAGAAGACGTGAGCTGCTCTGTATGTGCGAAAAAAAAAAGTTTCTTCCTCTTCGCATATCAACTGAGGTAAGCACCGCGTTATAGCACCGCGTTATAGCACCGCGTTATAGCACCGCGTTTTTCAGAAGCGAAGCTCTTAGTACTCGAAAAAAGGACAATACATTTTTTTAATATAAAAGTTATTCTATGTGGAGAAAATACCACACCCACGAGATGTAAAAAAAATCAAAACGAATATGTGAAATATCAAGAAAGAAAAGAAAATATAATCAGAATTTTCTCCCTTGCATTTTTTTTTTCATGTTATGCTTGCTGCTCTATACATATAAACATGTATATTTAAATAGTATTCACTTTTAAGGAGAGCGAAAGGAATAATAGAATTTAATAAAATAACTTACCCTAGCTCCAAGAAATCTCGCCTCTAATAACTCTTGCTTTCTAGGATCAACTGCAGGCTGAAATGAATGATCCATTTTAACAGCGCCTAATCGAATAATAGAATTGAATTAGATATGGTCGAGTAGCTCAAATATTAAATAATAATAATAATATTGCATACGTTAATATATTATTAACTAACCTCCAGATAGATAACGTTTATCAGTCATATCAATCCATTAGTTTCTAAATATATATTGAGGAAAATCAAAAAAATCTTAATAAATTGCTTTGTTTCTCACGTATTTACTGCGTTTATGATTTCTATTTATTATTTCTTTTTTTCATATCCACATCCATTTCTATTTCTATGTCTCTATTTCTTTATTTTATGTAATTATCAAATTCTTTCCATAAATAAAATAAACTACTCTCAAAACTAATGCAGCATAAGACACTTGAAAATTAGCTATGGATATGTATGTATCGTTTTGCTACAGAATGAAGGAAAAAAAAGTAAGTAATGTAAATAGGCAGGCAGCCGTTCGAGAGAGTATTTTGAGAACGAAAAGAAAAAGATCTTTTGTCAATGATTTTTTTTAAATACATAGAAATTAAATTGCACATCAAAAAGTAAAAAGTGGAAGTAAAAAATGACGACAAATATGCGAGATCCAAATGAATTTACGCACTTTAAATAAATACAATTTTTAATACGTGTATTGCTGTATACCTTATTATTCAATATGTCTCCCGATTAATTTGAAGGAAAAAAACACTTTTTTAAATACAATATTCTTTGTCGATTTAAACTTGACTATGCACGACTATTTGTTCCTCTCGCATTTACTTTAAAAACCTTTATATTTTAACCACTATTAATATTCATCCATGTTATTTTGCTCATAGACAAAAATAATTTTTCTTATCGATTTTTATTCCAATTTCTTTTAGTGATTTTGTCTTTTCAAAAAATCCACCATGATCTTTGATGACTATATGTAAGCACTTATGTTGTAATCATCTAAACAGCACTAAAATTGATACTTTAATCAGTTTGAATTGTTAATTAGGTTGAAATGTTTTTTAAAACGTGAACATTCACAATTTATGTCCACTTTTCCTATTAATTAATGCTTTTTTCAGCCACAAATCGTTTTACAGTTGGAACTGCTTATGTACTCTCAACGTTACTTAATTAATTTCACTAGAATTCTTGCTTTTTGCCGTTCTCGTCTTAAAATTTTTTATTTTTTAAAAGAATTCAAAAAGACTGAATTCACGACACTAAAACCCCGACAATACGCTATGCTGCATGAACTATCCAACGTACCTGAATGTTGAAATTACCTTTATTCCCTTTTTTCTCAACTTAGACAACTAGTGTATGATTCTCTTTTCTTTATTTTTGTTCAATTAAGGTTTATGGACATGATTGGACATGACTCTTGGACATAAATGAATGAACTTTCGAATAATGAAAGTGAAAAGAAATTTTTCAACGGATTCTCTGGATTTTAAAAATCATATTCACACGTTAACAAATTATCACAAAAATAATGCTAATAATTGGCTTTAATTAACAGTTTGATAGTGCAGTAAGTGCGAATAGGAGGTTTCCACGTTGACGATTGCTGGATAAGTGGAAGAACAAGGCATGTGAGTCGATAATTTTATTATATTCACACCGTTTTCACGTGTGAATCTATTGCTTTTGTTCAGATTGAAAAATCAGTTTTTCGCATTTTGCGAGGAAATGGAGCAAGATAGCCTAACGTAATCACAAATGAAAAATTTGTGCTTGAAATTTCACATCTTCTGCAAAAAACAGATTTCAAATTGGTTGAGGCATTGCTGAGAAAATACGCTTTCTGTAAGTAAATTAATCAGCAAGAAATCCCAATAACGAGACATCGTAGAAACTTCTAGTTTTTTACATTTGATCCGTGCTGCTCTATAGAAGCCGTTGCTTCAAAAAAAGCAAAAAAACTTTCCTTTCTTACAAATTTTTCAAAAACTAGTGTATCGGGTAGAAACCCAATGCGGAAATGTTCACACCGTACCATCAAAAGTCTTATGGATAAACCAAGATTTACTAAGCATAAGTTTGAAGGTGTAAAGCTTGATAAGTCAGCTGAGCTTCGCTCAGCATAAGTTTGAAGATATAAAGCTAGCGAGTCAGATGAGATTCGCTCAGCATATGTTTGAAGATATAAAGCTAGCTAGTAACCAAAATGTTCCATATAATCTTCCTTCGACGTCGATGGAAGATCAAATGTATCATTATTTATTATATGGAAAATATTTGATTTACAAATATGTAACAGAAGTGTTCCATCGAAGTATAACCCGAGCCCGCTTAAGTTCAAAACCTACGAAAAATCATCAAAAAAATATTTTTTTGCAGGAAAATAATATTTGTTCTAAATTTGGCATTTGCCATTTACTTCACAAGTGCTCGCAGAAATCACTATTATAAGTTCTTTCTAATTTTGTATGGGGCTTTTAATTAATTATTAATCGACCTCAGGTTTGTGTGCGAGTCATGGGTGTTCATCAGTATGCGACTTAATGAAATTAAGTCCTTTTGTTCTTTTTCGTAGTGTTAGTGTACTTTAATTAAGTACACATTAATAGTTTTACAAAAATTTACACAAATGAATGAAAAATGCAAAAGAACACGTGGAATTTATGACATTTGATGTCTTATTGCATTGTCCATTTATCTTCCAATTTCATAGGACATCATCTTCCGATGGATAATACATGGATAATATATATGTATCATCCATCATGGAAGATTCTCGTGGAATACATTGATCTACCTTTTGGTTACTAGGGCTAGCGAGTCAGCTGAGCTAAAGGCTTAAAACTTAACGAACATTCTTTAAAAGTATTTTAAAAAAAAATCACAGTCAACTTTTTTTTTGAAAAATTTGTAAGAAAGGAAAGTTTTTTGCTTTTTTTGAAGCAACGGCTGTTCTTACCTTGCCCAAAAACAATACAGCTCTTCTATAGAGCAGCACGGATCAAATGCAAAAAACTAGAAGTTTCTACGATGTCTCGTTATTGGGATTTCTTGCTGATTAACTTGCTTACAGAAAGCTTTTTTTCTCAGCAATGCCTCAACCAATTTGAAATCTACTTTTTGCAGAAGATGTGAAATTTCAGGCACAAACTTTTCATTTGTGAACACGTTAGGCTCTCTTGCTCCATTTCCTCGCAAAATGCGAAAAACTGATTTTTCAATCTGAGCAAAAGCAATAGATTCACACGTGAAAACGGTATGAATATAAAAAAGTTGACTGTGATTTTTTTTAAAATTAAACTTTGGATGAAAAATTTTTTTAAAATACTTTTAAAGAATGTTCGTTAAGCTTTAAACCTTCAGCTCAGCTGAATCGCTAGCTTTATACCTTCAAACTTATGCTGAGCTAAGCTCAGCTGACTCGCTAGCTTTATATCTTCAAACTTATGCTGACCAAATCTTGGTTTATCCATAAGTCTTTTGATGGTACGGTGTGAACATTTCCGCATTGGGTTTCTACCCGATACACTAGTTTATTTCCTTTATTTTGTTAAAAAATTATAAGGCACGGATTTTAACGTCATTATTTACATTTTGAGCAACTTTTAAAAGTCAAAAAATTGTAATGCATAATTAACAGTAAAATCTGTTGATTAATGAACATCCAGGAGCATAAATAAACTAGAATTAAATAAAACAATGTTAATATGCTTCCCGCAATATTCAAACTTAACGAAACATTCAGCCATCGACATACTTTTCGATGATTTTCTCAACGAATCATCCAGACTTTTAGACAGTACAAAAAGAGTTTATTACAGGGGAAAACTCCTTTTAGGAAAATCTCAATTATCACTAGAAAATAATTTTCCTACAAATTAACAACCTGCATAAAGTAAAAAATCTTTTTGAAGTTTAAAATTATTTATGGCATGTGCGACGACAAGTAAAATTAAAAAGCATATGATGAGATCCGTTGGATGTTCGTGATAATGTTTCAATGGAACTAACCGCCCCCTACGTAAAATTAAAAAAGTAATCTACAAATATCAAAAACAAAGCGAGAAATACTAAAAGTTAAAAAAATAACTAATACTAGACTTGTAAAATGTATTCATATATTAAAAAGTATTTCTAGACTGTTTTGAATATTTTCATGTAAGTTATTTGGATTTTTGGGACGATAGAATCTTAAAATTGATTTGATCCAAATATGTATTAAGCTTGGCTTTTTTTAATAAGACAAAAAAATGTGATTAAAAGTACTTTAAGCGTCTGAAAGATTTATTTTATGGTCGACAAAAAGTTAAATTTTGTTTTTATGAATGAAATTCAACTTCATGTCTTTAGGTTTAGACATAAATTGAACAAAAGTTTACATGTAATTTTTCTTCGCATTTTTTTAGACTTTTTTTCATGCCGAAATGGTGATTGGAAAGCAAATTAAGAGTCGTTCGAGATCCTCAATTTTCAACAAAATGCAATCGTCAGGTACAGGAATGACACCAAAAGAGCTGTCTGAAAACGATGATTTAGCAACATCGCTGATACTGGACTCGATTCTTGGTTTCCAAGTGCGTATTTCTTTTCTTTTCCATATATCTACACTTTTTTTATGCAGTTCAGTCAGTCAAGAGAAGAGAAAGAGAAGCATAGACAGAGACAGAGAGAGAGAGAGAATAAAAAAATTTACTTCTGCATAATATTGTTGCATTTTCTTTTCTTTTATTGTTATAATGAATTTTTTAGACACACAAAATGAACATACGGTACAAGCCACAGAGAATCAATCGAGACGAACTGAAAAAGATCACTGAAGAATTTATCGAGACTCAAGATTATGATACAGCTATGAGTAAAATAATGTCTGGCGATTGGATACCAAGAGCTTTCCATAATAAAAGTAAAATAATTCAAAAAAGACTGTATGCACACGTAAGTTTTTATTTTATACCTATTTTATTAAAATTGCAAAATAGGCTGGCTGTGTGGAAGGAGAAGCATGCAAGAAAAGAAAAATTAAAAATTTTAATAAATGCAATTTGCTTTTCAGATCTATCGCTATTTGCGTGTTTTCGATAGAAACTCTGGATTCGTTATTGATTCGTGCTTTCGATATTCACTGGAAGGACAAAAAGGAGCTAAAATATCCTCAACGAAGAAATGGTACAAAAATGAAAAGATTGAATGTCTGGTTGGGTGTATTGCTGAAATGAGTGAAGCTGAAGAGACATCCCTTTTACAACAAGGAAAGAATGATTTTTCTGTCATGTATAGTTGCCGAAAAAACTGTGCACAACTTTGGCTCGGACCTGGTAATTAATAATTTTTGCTATAACTTGATTTTTTTTTATCGCCCATACTTAACCCAATATTTAAATTTTAATTATTATTTTCTCAAATTGTAATACACAAAAACACATAGCTGCTTTTATTAATCACGACTGCAGAGCAAACTGTAAATTTGTCCCAACCGGACGAGATACAGCTTGTGTAAAAGTTTTGCGTGATATCGAAATCGGCGAAGAGATAACATGCTTTTATGGTGAAGATTTTTTCGGCGATAGTAATCGCTACTGTGAATGTGAAACGTGCGAACGTCGTTGTAGTGGTGCATTCACAAAATGGAAAGAAACGAGCGATGATAAGCTATCGGGAGGATATCGTTTGCGAGAAACGGATAATAGAATAAATAGGAAAAAAACTTCATCTCAACCAGATGCGGATAAATCAGACGTAAATTCAGATACTCAAATGAGTTTAAAAGAATTAAGGAAACGATGTACAAAGTATGATGCTGAAATGATTATAGCCCAAAGATCGCCAAAGTACATTGACGAATCAGAAGTAGCATTGAAACCACCTATTCATGCGACTAGAAACAGCTTATTAACTGCCACTAGTAATATAGTAACACGTTCTACAAAACGACTCAATAGTAAAGAAGATTCACCGAAAACTAATAGTATAGGATTAAGGAGAAGTAGAAATTCAAACGGCATGATCAATTCATTATCCAATGATTGTGATAAAAATAGCTATGGTAAAATGAAGTTTCTTTATCTCTTACAAAAATTAATTAATCATTTTATTATTTGTCATTTTTTCATCATATGCTAATTGTATGATAAAAGGGAATCGAAAAATTAAGAGGAAAAGTAATATGTTCTGACTTATTTCAAGTCAAAAAGCTGTTGTGTGGTTTTACTTCTTGGTTGCTATATTTCATCGAAACACACGCTCTTAAGACTTTAATGAAATCATCGAACAGACATCACATAAAAATTGTTTCATTTCAAAATGGCTGCAAATATTTACATACATAATTTCTAAATGGTCTCAAGTTTTATTGTACAACTATTTTGTTCCTCTAATTTTGTAGTTTTTAAAAGCAAGTTCTTGGTCCTAAATATTTCACAATAAAGATCTTCAATTGCTCATACTTATGTATCATTCCCAATCATCTCAATGTCCCTCAAAAGCATATTATTACAATTTCATGATCCAGGAGCAGTTCATGAGCTCAAAAATTATGATCAGTTTATACAAACAAGAGGAAATATAAATATAGAATTGTGTTCAAAAAATGTCTACAAAAATAAGAAATCCACAAGCATGTATTAGCATACTTAACTGTATATTTAGAAAAAGAAAATTCGATCTAATTTTTCCTTCTTATTCTTTCTTATTTTTCTCTTAATACATATTAACTTTTTACGCTCCAAAGTTACAGTTAATAATTTTCTCTTTTATATTTACTTTTTCTTTGAAAACACGACGAATCGAATGACGATGAAAAATATAAACACACAATTTCAGGTGAAGCAGATGCGGAAAGTGATACAAACTCTTCATCAAAGGATACATTCAACAATTTTACACAGAATACAAAAAGTGTCGCCAAGAAACGAAAATTAAAATCAACTCGATTAAGTGAAAGCGAGAGTTCATCATCATGGGAGAATAAGCAGTTTACAAATAGTAATGTTGATGTAATGTCTAATTTTGGTAACAGTATTTTGTTAAAAACGCCAGAAAGGCGCTTGAAGATGTTAATAAGAGTTAAAAGAAGCCCAACGTCCAGTAACACGTGTTCGAGTTTTGATCAAAACTATAGTTTAGGAGATAAACTAAGTATGAATGATGACAATGAGCCTGAATATGAAATCCTACGAACTGAAGGTATTGATAGTAACGGGATTAGTGAAACGGAATCAACAACTTCACTCATATTCTCGGGCGTTAAGCGATCGAAAAGGAAAAAGCGCCATAAGCACAAACGGAAGCGCAATAAGAATAAGTATATCGATTCTAATGAATATAATTTTGATCAAGACAGTAATTTAGAAGAATCATCGAGTTTTAACGAAGATGGAAATGAACATTGCAAAATACAGAATAATTTTACAACAGCTAAACGAGTAAAATTAATGTTTGGTAATGAAATGAAAATTCTGAACATTCCCGACAAAATTGAAACATCTAACGAAGCAGATTCATTGCTGAACTCTAATTTATTACCGGCTAAAAGTATTTTAGTGACAAATGTTTTTAACTAGAATCATTTTCATTTATAATTTTTATTTTAAGTGGTTGATGTTTATTGAAGATTAATTAAGAAAATTTGTATCTAAAAAAAAATGGGAAATTACACCTAGATAGTAAATTAAATTAGTGGCCCTCATGTAGAGACGTTATAAAATCTCAATCTGAGATATGAATCGTCCCTAAGAATTTGAAACTTAGTACTAGAATTCGTCATTATTTTTGTACTGAAACATAAGTATAGAAAATTTTCTTCTCAATTCTGGATGTTTTGATGGATTGAAACTTTCACAACATCAAGTTTTATGCTTTGTAGCAAGAAAGAATGGATATTATCGGATAAATAGATGAAAAATAAATATTGGAAGAATAGAATAATGTAAAATCATAAATGTTTGTAAACAAGATATGTCAAATTTCTGTCAGGATGCAATTTTCACTTACAAGTTTCTAAATGAAACGCAATATGCGTTCAACATGTCAATGATCACAGACCCGTTATCTGCAGTGCTTATAACAATATCTCTGTATTCGGAGTGTCCTCATTTATTCTGCAAAATGAATCGTCACGATGCTTTCTATCTGTGCACTTGAGTGATCAATTTCATTAAATTTCAACCACACGTTTTAGTTATTGAATGTTTTTTTTGAATGATTAAAGAATTTTTTTCCAAAGTAGATCTAAAGAAAATGAAAATGAAAGCTTTGCCGGAATCAATTTTACTCACTTGTTCGTTATTTTAATAAAAAATTATATCTTCAATGGAGATGATATGAGCTTCGGAAAAAATTGGAAAAAGCGAATAAAAAAGTAAAAAAATATAAACTTAATGTCCTTACCCAAACATCATCTTTAACTTATACTTAAAAAATCATTTTGATCATCTTTGTTCGGTATATTTTTTAGAAAAAATACAGACTGCGAAAGCAAATAATTAATTTTATTATTATAATTTTTCTGCTAATAATAAAATAATTAAAAGTTTAAAAACAAATTTTGTCCTGATTGTTTCATTTTATTTATTCAGTCACTACTTTACAGCCTTTTGATTCCAGCCACCACATTAATCTAATAATTTACCATTCTGCAACAATTAAAGCGGTTGTGATAATTTTAATGCGTAAATATTTCATAGAATTTTATATCACTTTGATAAATGAATCGTGTTTTGTGGACAAATATTTTCTGGAATATTTAAGTCAAATTAGTTCTGCTTGATTTTAATTACATTTACCTGTTTCATAATTTTTGATTCATTTTAATTATAATTTAATTTTTTTGTCTCTTTCAATGGAAAAAATTAAAACAAATTTATTTATAAATGTTATCAGGAAGCACGTGCTGTTATTTATATAAAATTTAATCTTTATTATGACTTCTTTTACATTTTTTGGGAGTACTTGAAATTTTTTGAAAAATAAATAAACAACTCCGAACCCTATCCACTTCGAGCTCTGGTTTTATGATGTTACACCGTTCAAGCTAGTCAATATCGAACAGACAGGTGTTAATCCAATAAGAACCTAACAAGATGATCACACCAGGCTATAGCTCTGCTCATTATAAATGCCGTAGTCAACCCGTTACTCAGCTAAGAAACCTTTAGAAATATTGACTTTTCAGTATGTCAAACCTTTAATAATTATTAATGACTTAAAATCTCGTACGTCATTTTATAGGAAGAACCAATTATTTATTCTTGTTCAAAGCAATTTTTATCGGATTGCTTCAAAATAGTTGTTGGCATAAAATATTAAAGTGGCTGATAAGCACAAAAATATTTCAAGTGCCATTTGCTGTAAATTAAAAGCACTTGTTGATTGGATTTAAGAATCAAAATGTCATAAATAAAATGAATTAAAATGTAAGAATTCAAAGCAGAAAATTAAATCCTAAATAAATGTGTTTCTAATTGATTGTTAATTGATTTTTAATATCTGAACAATCAAGATAGCAACAATTCAATTCAATCAATCGACTATGACATTTTTAAGTACATTTAAAGATGCTTCAATACTATAAATACGTTGTATATATATAATAATTTTGTTTTAATAAGTTTCAACTTTATAATCAAATTTTCTTTTCAATTTTCGCCATACATTGCAGGAGCAAACATGATGAATATTTTTCCTGTAACGAAATTAAATTTTCTATTATTGCATTATAGTCGACTCTCATTCTGTGTGTATGAAATTTTTTTGATAAAATATATGTGCATAAAGTTGGTCATTTTTCAGTTGTGTGGTGTATTTATTGATGGTTTTCCATGAAATTTATCATTATTTTTCGAAAAATAGTTTAAAGAATCGGAGAACGGTAATTAGTACTTCCTCTTTTAAATAACTTTTTAGCATTATTTTTCACAGACAAACTCTTTGTTGACTGTAAAGTGTCTCTGTTGACTCATTTAAATATTTTTTCTTGTTTCCAGTTTATTCATCGTCTGTGATTTTGTTCATCCACGATACCTGTTTATTTCCACCTCCTTTTTTTCATCCGTGCAGTATAAAATGTGCTGCAACACTTGTATAATCTTCAATCGAGCCCCAGAGAAATGAATTTCTGTCCTACTTTTGAAAACTTTCTAGTTCCATGCTCGCTTTTTCCTCGAAATTTCATCAGGTATTAATCAATGATCATTTTCAATCGAGACTGTAATAATGTGCTTTAAAAGCAACATTTTGATAAGTACTTATAAGTTCTTTGTGTATTCTAAGAATTACTGGCTATCGATTTTTTTCTTGTGTGCTGTATCTAAGATTGTCTGTGAATAAAACAAAATTGAACAATTTGGTAATAATGCAGGAATTCTCATTTTTGAATCAACCTATAAAAATTGAATTTACCTATGAATGAGTCTTGGTTACGTGGGAGCACCCAATACTTCCATTCAGATTCATTTCATTCATTTTTGTCACATTATGTACTTTATTGATGTTAATTCCGTTCTGATAATCTAAATAATTATTTTTTTGTTGAATACATAGCATTTAAATCAATATTTATTGTGTGTAGGAGAATCAAGGACATAATCTTATTGCATGGAGTATTTTCGAGCATTAGAATCGCGATTTTCATATTCAACAAGTGTTAACGCTTGCTTTCTAATAGCGGATGATAGCTTAAATGAATATTATCAGTTCCTTTGTTTAAGACTGTTTAGAACTGCTATAAACTAGGAGAAGGCGATTGAACTCTTGATCACTCACTTGACACATAAAAAGTTTTGAAAAACCAACACAATCAGGACACTATGAAGTCTAAATATAAAATTTCTATTAATGACAAGACTATATCCGGCCTAGTTACTCCAACTCAATGAGTAACTCGACGCATAATTGAATATTCTTCTCCATTACTAAAGTCAATTAAAAATGCGCTTTTGCTTTACTTCCTCTAATTACAATTACTTTACCTGCTTCTGCACATTGCCACTGCCTCTACCTCTGTGTACATAAAACGATTTTTAATTATTATGAAATTATAACGTTAATTAAACTATATCAACAGATGAATATACAAAACGTTGTATGCAGGTTTCGTCGACAACGAATTATTTTTTAATAAAGTTTTAAAACCCGCTTATCGCGAAACCCGATTCAAACGTTGTAAAACTCCTTTTTGATGTGATTTTTTTTACACTGTTCTTGCGTAAATCTTAAGTCGCTTCCTTTTCTCTTTTATATATATATTTATTTTCTTATGTAAAATCCTTCCCCTCAACATCTTCAATGAGGAAAAAAAGAATGATTCTTTAAGGATACGGCAAGTATACGTCATTCAATGGATGAGGAAGAAAAAAAATACACCTTCTAATATTGAATAAGCATATAATGCTAATAATCCAATGATCAATAGAAAATTTGAATGACTTTTTACCACATTTCTCATACATATGTTCACGTGTGTATGTTAATATAGATTCAGCTCCAAAGGCAGTATTAGATTAGAGTACGATGAGATTAAAAAATTCTCAGAATATGAATTTATATGATAGGATAGTACATAAATTGGCATAAAATATGAATATGTTCAAAAGAAGCATAAATGTGTTGAATTTTGATGAGTGAGAATGTGATTTAAATTTTATTTTTTCTTCTTTTCCTTCGTCACTTATCCAGTAAGCAGTATACACTGACATAAGTGGTAGAATAATAATAATAATCTTATGAAGTTATGAAGAGATTTAAAGAAATTATTCCTCTCATTCTACATTAATGTAGGATAACATTTACTAGGGGGTGCTTGCCTGGATGACAGATTTGGGTGGCTGAGCAGTTTAGCATTTGAAATGGCTTTTAATAGGACGGAAATTGCGAGTTTTTGAATTAGTGTCAGAGATTCTTTCTCGAATAAAAATCCAGGCACAGACTTTATTATTTGATTGTTTCAAAGACATCGCTTTTAAAAGTGTCAAGCTTTATGGGGTATGGAATTAAGACAACTTTACTTTGGCTATTAAAAATTAAGGACTAAATCTTTTGTGATTTATAGATTCTAAGTTTAATATTGTATGAACTCAAAAATAGATTCCAGGAGAGGATTTCAAATTTCTACAGAAATAAAACAAATCTTCTTCGTGGTACGAAAATAATCAACTTCAAGAAAAGTTTCAAACCAAAAACCACTCAAATCTCATTAACATTTTTTTTTTTGGTAAGAAGGAAAGAAAAAATCCTTCCGTAACTTTACAACCCAAATATTTACTCAAAATATGCGTTCTGATCACCCTTTTAACAAAATTCTTCGTTTCCATTTAAAATCTACAAATTAATTTGCATAATGATTGTTGGAAAAAAAGTTGTGAATCAATTAAAAAAATCTGCATTTAAAATTAATAAAATAAAACTCGTGACTGATGCTTCAATGACAGATTGTCAATCTTAAATATTTTGTCATACATGTGCCTGGCTATAAATCTATATAGATATGAATCGGGAATGTTAAATAACATTTCTTCCCATATCCTTTTTACAACCCGAGACTACATCGAGAGTGAGTGAGCCCATACATACGTATATTCAATTTAAATTATTGTATATTTGAATTTTTTATTAGTTTTTATGTTTTGCTCAAGAATGAGAGTAAATTTAAATTGAAAAAAAAAATCAATTTCTACTGATTTCCTTGAAAGAATTGCAAATTGAATATTGATAATAAAAGGGAGGCACTTACTGCATACAGTCTCACTCTCTCTCTTTATATATCTCGCTTCATTCAAATACATAAAGGATAAAAAAAATAAGGAATTTTAAACTATCAATAAAGTCATGACTTTCTTACCAGAAATAAGTGAGTGAATGAATGGCAAACAGAGGCTGGCAGGCACACGGGTATGGTGATGAGAGGCAATTTGAAATGATGATGACGACGATGATGATGATATCACACAAAACCATGCTTTAAATGTTTCAGACAGAAAATATGCAATAATTTTAAATGTATGTAAAATAAGTTAATCCAATTCATTTGATTTTATCATCCCCTCGAAGAATTTTCCTCCCTATAAATTGCACATCACAATTTACAATTTACTTTCTCGCTTTCTTTACTCGTGTTCCTTTTAAAAAAAATATTATATTATAACATAATATAATATGAGGAGATGTAAAGATTGAATTTTATTTTATTATTATTTTGGATATGACAGTAACAAGTCTGCACTGTATCACTTCAACAACTAAACTGACAACGTTTATATCCAGCAGCAATAATTTTTAGTATCACACATTTTTGGTGGATGCACAGCACAACACACTATATATGAGTTTTCACGAGAACGTTCAGAGAGAGAATGTGAACGAACCTCGATACACATTCACATTATAATAATAATATTTCGGAACAAGGAAATGAAAATATGAGGAAGGAAAAAAAAAGCAGCAGAGTCCCCCTCATAAGTAATAGTATGCAATCTACTCGTCTCGATCAAAAGGAAGATGCTGCTCGTGCCTACAAATACAATTATCTTTCGCCAATTCACCCGACACTCGATTCTCGTATGTCTCTTGGGCATGCGTCCTTTCCCGATATAAACACATCAGCTACAAACACATTTTTTTTTTCTCCTCGATGTCATTGCTTTTCCATCCTGCCCGCTTTTCACCCAAAACCCATGGCTGAGAGAAATAGAGATATTGCAATTGACGTGAGAATTTTATAGGTTCAATAATGAAAAATAAATACATTCTAAGTACCCATTCATCTCATTTAATAAAATGATTCTTCCTTAAGTGTAAAGAAGGATGAATGTAAGGAACTGTGTCTTAATCCGGTAAAGGAAAGACAATAGCGGATATCATATTCATAGGGTTTACATTGCAAAGATCCCCAAAAATAAGCAGTAACTGTTATATACAATCATACGATGATGACAAATTAGTATATAGCAGCTATTGTATGTACAAATTTAGAATCTGGAATCCTAGATATACTCACATTTTTAAATACATTGAAAAAATATAAAATTTACATTTTATGAAAAGATTTCTGAATGTGCTGTATGTACAGCTACGATGCCTCATCTACTTTTTATTACTTTTTTTTTTGATTTTTTAAATAGCATTTTAATCAAGAACTCACGAAAAAAAGCACACATTTTGACTTGCTTTGTTCAGGTGTAGTTGAAAAATAAATTTATTTATTACAGATCAATGGACAGCAATCGCTTGAAATCACAATGATGTGATTTAAAAACAGTAAAGCGCTCTGCCTATGCCCCCGAAAAAATATTCAATTCTTTATTTTCTGTTTAACTGTTTGTATGCACGATTGGAAGGCATAAATTTATTGGACAGAACAAAAGGCTAGAGAATTTTTCCAGAGAACTAATATTGGTCAATCGGTACAGTACAATGATGGCATTCTCAATCAATCCGAATGAATTTTTTTTTCAGCATTACTATTTTGAATTTATTGACGTTATTAATCGGAAACAAGAGCTGTTGTTACTCTTGATTAAAAGTCTTTGTTTTACAATTTTTCGATTAAGTTGAACTGAATTTTTCGCCGTGATGCATTTATGAATCAAAAATTGGGAATTTGTGAAGGATATATTAATAAAATTCCAGCTTGCATTCCTTAATTAAGTAGCCATAAGTGAGAGATGAACCTATGCTTGTCATTACTAGTACTGGGCAGTACTGTAAAAATAGGAAGTCCACAAAGGACTAGTAATTGAAAAAAATTGAAACATTAAGTCTGAGCTTATTCCAAATATTAAAATATTAAGGTTCACTTATTTAAATAAACATTTCTGTTTGAGTAAATGTGTCTCATTTGGGATGAAAAATTTTTAATTGAAAGGAAGGACAAAAGATTATTTTGTCAGATTTGTCGTATAGAACACATGCAAATTACTTAATATTCATATTTGCTTTTTCAATTTATTTCTAAAACCCATTTTGCGTTACAGAAAACACATTTCTATGAGGTAATTCTGCTTTGGAAAGCCTGCAAGTAAATATAATCACAGTTAACGTATTACGGATGTGATGTGAGGAAGCTCTTAGGGATAATTTGGACAAAATCTAAATTGTTTATTTTACAATGCTACTTTTTAGATTTTTTTTTCAACTTTAAGATATTAATGACAAAATTGGGGTCCCAATTTCTGAATATTAACATAAGAGCCTTTCAAAAATCCACAAAATCTGACAAGATCAACCCAAGGTTTAAGAAAAATAATTTTCTTCCGTTTTACACACAATTTTCTTATCTGTGGATTTACGTTTATAAATCCTTATACGTCAAAATTTGTTACATCTTCTGCGAACCTTCGTTTGAACTGCTTTTAACTTTTCAATCGTGAACATAATTGAAGTACTTTAGACCACTCTATCAATATCAGAACCAATAAAAAAATATTTATTTTCACTATAAAAATCACAAGCAACATATCTTTGTAGAATAAAAAATGTAACTGAACTCCACTCAAAATGCTACAGTATATGTGATGTTACAGTTCAGTGAAAAGCTTATTTTAATTTTTTTTACAAAACAAATTTTTTTATTGGTTTTTGTAAATTTATTTAAAAGTGCTGATTGTGTACACATTTTCATTTAGAACCCAACCCATTATTGTTTCTTTTCTCTAGCATTTAAGAGCAGATTCTATTTTTTTTTGCTCAAGTTTTAACGAGGGAGACAAGAATTGAGAATGTTTAGCATATTTATCATTATTTATATAAAATTCGTTCACTTTAATTAATTTTAATCTCAATTATCGCAGACAATGAAAGAAATTAATAGAACGACAACAGAGTAGAATGTATATGAACACAGTGAAGCAATCAATTTCCTACATACACACGAAAGTTGATGGAGAAATATCGGAAACTCATTGTAACGGTCGACGTGATTTTGAAATTTATTTTACATTTTATTTTGTAAACATTCAAAACTCTTAAAGTTTTTTTTATCGATTTTCAATATGTTTAGGCAGTATTAATGATATGTCGTGATAAAAACCTTTCTGCTCACTTTTTTTCTACAGGTTTTTTTCTTATTTAACTCACTATTGAGTTCTGGTTTGATAATATTTTGGCAACAAAATTTCGATGTGAGAAAAAAAAATTTTGAACAAATAATTAAAATAAGAGAACAAAGCATAACAAAACCCTTTCGTCAGTGCTGAAATACAAAATTTTAAATACATGCAGACACAAAATTTACATCGATCTTCATGATGACGAACAATTAAGTGAAACGAGAAAATAATTAAACTTATCTAACGATAACAAACACTGTGTATTATAATATTGACTGCGAGCATAACATTATGAACAATAAATAATATTATATGTGCATTTATGTTGCTGCTTTCAATTAAATCTTCTGATGCTCTTTCAGAATAGAATGTTAAATACATTAATAATAGAAATAATTGATTTTAGAGAGTTTCTCAACAATTTAATCAGCTTGCTGGCTTGAAACATATCTTTTACTCACTCATTCTGAATATTTTGTCACGATGTTGTTGCATTCAATGATGTACCTTAGCAATAATAGCATGAAGACACGCCAAATGCTTAATGTCACAGTTCTGTGATTTTTTTATATTTTTGTAGTTCTTTTTTTTTCATTATGTATGAGTAAATGCGATTTCCTCTTTGACTATTCTATAAATTGTGTCATCACTGCAATACACAGGCACAACAGCAAACAAAGCATTCACCTTTTCCGGCAAGTTTAATACTATTATATTGTTCAAAGTTCAATGATGAATTTGCACCGTTTGATGTCCATAATTGAATTGAAGAGAGGGTAAATTGAGGAAATTGATAGCAAAACAACAAGGGTACGTAATTATTAAAGTCACTTGTAGTTATTTAGTTATCGATGTGAACGATGATGAAAAATGTTTTGCCTCTTTATTTAAATTGCTTTACTTACTGCACAATATTTTGATGTGTTTGTTTGTCTCTTTATTACATTTCGTTTTTTAATTAATTGAACAAAAGAATTTTTAATTGAATTTTTCCCTAGATAAGTGTTAAGTCAGACATTGATATTTCCCACATATATTGGCTATTTTGAATTTAAGCCCATTTTAAATAATATTATGTCAAATAATCGTTGATTTGTCGCTATTTTTTTTGCCATGCAAAATATTCCATTAAACTGATACGTGAGTTTTTTTCAGCATTTAGATACAAAAACTTTATTCGTATTGTTTGCAACTATTAGTTCTCAAATGTCGCTACAACAATCTGTTAAATTGACATTTTGAGGTTTTTATAGGCGCATTTTTGCTGTATACTGAAATTCAGATATTGAGGAGGTTAATTGAGTGTTTTGTAAAGTACAAAAACAGCTTAATAATTGAATTTAGGGATTATTAAGTTCAGTATAAAGCAGCTAATGTTTAAACTCAATTTTAAAATATTTCAAATTATTTTTTTAAAACATATTCTTGTTTTTATTAAATAAATCTTAAAACCTATTAACATTTTATTGTTTGCTTTAAAATTAGCTATTTTAACAATTTTTCATTATTTAAAGTTTAAAAATGTCCAAAATATAGTTACCAGAACAGTTCAATAGATTAAAGAAAGTATTCCAAATCATATATTGCATACATTTTGAAACAGTAATGAAACTTTAAAGTCTATCAATTTACTTGCATCCTAGCAGCAATTTACTATTTTCCGATATTTAATCTAATTATCTTATGGGAAGCCATAATTTATAATGAAGCAGTGAGCAATATAAATGTTGAGCATTAATGCTTTGCATGTTCATAATTTTCATAGGCATAAAATCATTTAATCTTTTTTTATGGATGAAAATGCGCTGTTCCAATAATGTTGGTATGACAATTTTTTATCTTCCTGATGCTCTCACCTCTCACGTGTATCACAATAGACTCGTTCAATCAATCACAAACATTTATGCAGTCATATATTTATGAAATATAAAAAAAGTTTCAATCATTGCCGTGTTCTATATATGTGTTTGTTGACAGAATCGAGTGACGAGGAAGAAGGTAAAAATTTGTTATTCATTGATGCCAAAGTCTATGTTTTATGATTGATTGATTCAAATTTACCCTTTAAATGAATCTTGTGCAATAATAAGTTGTATTTTGATACGTAAAATAAAGTGAAATAAAATTAAAATCTAGAACCTACAATTTAATATTGTCATAAAAACATGAAAAAGGAGTTGCTTGTTTTAAGTGACGTCCTATGTTTTTTTCACAAACATTTTAAAGCCTGTTTTATATAACAATATAAAATCCTTTTGATATCGAGCATGCAACATTTTAAATTAAGTTTTTTTTTCAATGTGCAAATTCACCAGGCTCATAGCTATGTCTCCAAATATCCACTAGACATACTGATGCATGGAATCGATAGAACATGATGAGCGGCAAGGATAAGTGATTCAATATACTCCAAATTTCGTCTGAGTAGAATTTATATCTTTCATCTTGTATATCACCGGTTTTAACAGAGAATGTGTAATAAATCCATAGTGCAACATTGGCTATCGTTAAAAAGGTGACCAATTCTCGTCCAGGCTTTTCTCTTTTCAATTCCTCTGAGTTTGAACATCGACGAAGTGCATCTATTATCCATGGAGTTTGTAGAAGAATTTGTATAAGCTGTTCCAAAGCAATTAATTAAAAGCTTGAGAATGTTTTTTGAGTTTATTTATGCAAAATAGTCTTAACATACCTGTGCCATTATTATTGCAACATTCAAGTATGAGCCATAAACAATTGCTGGAACCATTGAAAATATTGTTTCTGAGAAGAAAGCTGGTATTGCAATGAATAGAAGAACATCATCTAATTTACTGTGGACAAAGTAATTGAGTTATTCAATATAAAAGTTAATGGTAATGCATTTATGTACCTGATAGGATGTGGATTGATATCTAATTTTGCTGTTTGTACATAAGCGCACACTACACAAATAATCATAACAAATAGAATAAGTAGTTCAAAAGAACGATCAATAATGACTCCAGTATCAGCATAATCTCTGTATTAAAAATATATTTAATAATTAGCGATAATTAGCAATTTATAAAAAATATCTTACGGATTGTGAACAGCAACGTGTAACAAGATGATGAAAACAATCTTTAATATCATTAAAATCATTCCAGCTGTAAATAGAGCAGACAGTAATAATTCATTGCTAGGCTAAATTGATCAAATATTCAACATACCAAAAAGACCTCGACTTGCTGAATGACAATCAGCATAAATGACTAAAGAACTTTTATAATCGGTACTTTCATGATAAATCAATGGATTGTGATGATCAGATACAGAACTTCCTGGTCGATTAGGCATGACAAGTCCATTTGGTGAATGATCTTCTTCATGAATTGGATGTAAATTGAATGAATTGTTATGAACCAATTTAGTTGTGCTATTGTGTAAGTCATTGTGGCTGCCATGTGCAGAACCTCCATGTCCATGTCCGTGCTCGTGTGCATGAGCTGCTGCTGCTGCTTTTTTCTTCGGACATTGATTAATATTTGCCCACATCATGTAAAATATTCCAACAACCAAAATGCAGAATTCAATTACAAAAGGATAAAGGTATGGTGAAAACATTCGTCTGTATAGAAAGATTTAAGGCTTTTAATCTTACTTAATTAAGTTATTTAAAAATTCTAATCCTTACCTTATTGAATTTAAGTCAGTTGATCCTGGACATTCTTCACTTGCTTGATATGCATAAATTGAAGAATTAGATCTAAGTGTGTGACCGAAACCGTCCACAATGGTATCCATATAATCTTTTTAGAAATATTAAAATTGTGATTAGAGAAAGTTACAATATGTTAATACACGACTTACTGTATTTGTATTGCCTCTTCAATTCTATTGCGTTTTCAGTTTCTCGTACAATTGTAAAAATCCAAAATGCCAATGATGTTCCAATTGCATGCATGAAGAAAATGCGAGCAGCACCACGATATCCATTAATTATAACATTGCAGTATTTAAAGATCAAAAATAATATTACGATTGAATAAATGGGAAACAAGATATCGACAGTTAATTGCAAAGCATCAAAGCATTCGGAATCTAGCGAAAGGTACACCGACTCGTAGAAGATAGATAGAGTTGAGTGAATAAGAAGTCCAAAGCAAAACCACGCTGCACCGAGTTTTAGATAAAAAAATTCTCCGTGTCTGCCAGTTGCGAAGCAATAACGATGAGAAATTGGCTTAACTGGATTCATCATAATATCAGGTATTGGAATTTGGACAACATTTCCATTTGCTGTTTGTCTCATTTCTAGTGACGATTGAAAATGTTCCTATGTTTAACATAAAGAGAGAAATTGTGATGTTTGCTAGCTATGATACATTCAAGCTAAGTTTATTTACTTCTATATGATGTATTTGGTCTTCATATCGTCTCATCTGATCATCGCGTTCATTAACGGCTTTCCTAGCTTTTCCAATGTGCATTCGTATGTCGATGTATAAGAATAAAAAGTAAATTAATCCAACAACTAGCATGAAGATACAGAATATCTGGAAATCAAGTTTTTAATCATTTTAAATTTTGAGAAATTCAAAGAAATTTTACTTGGGGAAGCGGATGTAGATCTACAAGAGCATCAGCAATAAACACAATCAGTCCAAACATCAATAGGAATATTGCATAGCACATCGATATGATGGTTGCAAAGAACCGTCTGTTTGAACAAAGATTATTATATTAAGCTACACGACTTACACCAATAAATAGCTTACCTTGTCATTTTTGACTTCTCTTCTTCTGATGAAGGAGGTGGATGGTGTGCAGCTGGCTCAGGACGTTGTGATCTGAGAGATGGCTGATGTGAGAGTCCACGATTATAATTTACTAATCTAGTATTAACAAATCCAGGTGATTTTGAGTCATGAAAACTGCCATTTCTTGAAACAGGTCTAGAGCGGCGATGGGCGCCTTGTAAAGCTATAAATGTTGACGAGTTATTAACATTCATTTGATAACAGCTTGATTTATGACCTTATCTTTCAATTAAAGCTTTATTTCCTCTATTTATGCGTCATAAATTGAAGCTATACTGTTGTGGTCATATTTAAAGCAAAGACTTACTATCAAACCCATGTGGATCCTCATGAATTCGTTGACCTGATCCATACTGATGTGGCATAACAAACTGCAGCGTCATATTATTAGGAGCTTGCTATAAGCACAAAAAAATAAGGAAGTTTTACTCTTTCGCATCTTGAAAATCAACATCAAAGAGACAAGTTAAAAAATATGATAATGAACTGAATGAATCCTTTTCATCATCAAATTTTAGTTTGGAAACTAAATCTACTGGAAACTATGTAATGATAATCATCAAAAGATATGTGCAGATAATTTTTAACAAGCATCGGATGGATATATGAATACACATATATCGATGTTCATATGCGACATTAATGTATCGTTAATTTCAAAATTATTTTTCACTCCATATGAGCGATCACTAATTTTTCGTTCTTTTGAAATTTTCACACTTGAATGACTCATTGGATATATGTGTACATAAAAGAGTTTATAACCATTGATGCTCGTATGTAAAAATATGTATTTAATTATGTGTGTATTATTAAGATCCAGCTATTCTTTTTTTAATTAATTGATTACGCTTCCTATGACAGCCTATGACTTTAAAAAAATTTTGTTCCACGAGCGGCATTGAATCCCTTTGATTTCATGGTATAAAATCTGCTTTAAAACTCTTTCTCATATGCTTCAGCTTAGGCATCTCATTTGTGTATATTTTTTAAAATATTTTAAAACGTGTCCATCGTTTGCATACGAGTGATGTAAATTTAGTCAAAAGGGGAAAATTCATTAAATATTCATATGTGACAATTGAAATGTAAGAAATTTGAAAGGATATGCATGGGAGAGGATATAATTACGCCTCATATTTTCAAAATAATTGTGGACAGAATGTTTTTACCAGATTTTGTTTTTTTATTTCATTGCTGTCGGATAGAGTTTTAAGTGCAGGGATGGACTGTGATCTTATTCATTGTAATCTATAAGTAGTCATCGTTAGAAAATAACAAACTTGTATTCTAGTTCCTTTTTTGAATAAATTTAGCTACAAGGGGGAACTAAAAAGACCAATTCCGAAATTCAAATAAAACATTCTCATTAAAGTACATAAATTAAATTTTCACACTGACTACTGCAGACAAAATATGAACTTGCCGTTGGCTATTCTGTAATTTTACATACTGAATTCGTATAGAACATCCATTTACTACTTTTCACACATACTCAAAAGTGCATTTAAACAGGAAGTGAATTATTTCCGTGTGTTCATCAATATTTTGAATTTTGTGTATTGGATGTTAAGAATTTAAATTAATTAAGGTTTACATTTGAATTTTGGCATTTCTGTCTTGATGTTCTTAAATTTCAATTAAATTGACGCAATCTTTAAACCTTGATTGGTAACTTATGATATGAGTTAAGTCTACCTTAATCCTTCGTTTTGCGACTTTATTAATAGACTTTTAATATTTTCTGATGATTTATTGCTTTATTGAAGAGGTTTTCAACTAAGATTCAATGCCTTAATGCTCAAAATGAGTCATTTATACCTCCCGAAAACCTTACATGAATCTAAGAAAGATTTTCAATATTTTAATTCATAATCACATGTTCTTAATCCAATCATGCTACATTCCTTACTCAAATTATCTATTAAATCCACATTTGTTTTGTTTCCATTGAAAACTCCAAAAAATTTCAGACTCATTTGTTCGAATTCTCATGACGTCATAGAACGGAGAAGTCACACTGATAGAAAAATCAACTTTTAGATATAAATAAATTAATTAAGACGCACATACGTAATATAGATTCATTAATCGCGATTTCGTAAAAGATTTATCAGTTTAGCTCCTTAAATCACATGATAAACATGATAAATTTTCCCCTTAGAGATTTAGCACAAAAAAATTCATTTTATTGAGAGCTGTTTGAAGGCACACAAGTGATTTTTATTATGTTTGAACTAGTCTTTACACTTTCCCATTACTCACATCTAATTCAATTTCAAGTGAATGTAGAGAGATGCTTGAAGATTTTCTGGTTAACATGTTTAATTACTGTCTAATAAAACACTTGAATCACAAAAAGGTACGAACGACTTCTATCCATTTACAAAGAACACTAAAGTAAATTTTAAGTTTGAATCATCAGCTTTTTGTTTTTACTGTTCTTATCAATCGCTACCACCTTATTTTTTTAAATCAATTTATCAAACATTTATTCAATTTATCGTCTTTAATTGTTCAAAATGTCAAGACGGGATTCCAAATTTTGCTAATTTCATATTGATAAGAGTGTCATGAAATTGTTTATTTGTCATTGACGATGCCATTTCCTAGTCACTTCTTATGTTGATTACTTAGTGGCTCTTATGATTCATAGAAAATTCAATTCAATTTTTGAAAGGAAATTTCCTCAAAAGTGTGGCGCATGTAGAACAAGTTTAAAATGTAAAATCATTGAATCTTTGTGAATAAAGCGCACTTTTGAACCTTAAAAATTTCTAGCTTAAATTATTTGGCACTTATAAATTTCAATTCTTCTCAATCTCCAGGTACTCATGGATATTTAATGTCGATCACATGCTTCCATAAATTGACAATTAAAATTCTTACCCCAAAAGACTGCCCACTTGCATTGCTATCTTGACGTTGAAGCTTCAGCGGCTCTTGTTTATCAGATCCTATCAAACCATCATCAGCACTTTTCACCTGATAAAATAATTAAAGACACTTGAGTTGAATTTGCACGATTTTATGGTTATTTAATAATTTTTACAAATTCGTCTGTTCTCTTTGAAGTTTCCGCTTCTTCCATTTTTACTAGCTACTTACTCTACCTATGGTTCAAATTAAATTGATACTCAAATATAATTTTCAGCAACATTTCAAGCAGATTTAATCTCTTAATGATTTTTTAAACTTTTTTTTCTTTTGCTGATAATGTTATCAGTGCAACAGTCAATGTCTTTATCTAAAATCATTGGTTAAGTTTTGAGTGAATGCAAATCATGGAATAAATATTTTTAGGATATTTATCAATTATCAGCGTGGTCAATGATATAATTGAAACATTAAGATTAGATATCTTTTGTAATTAACAATTATTCAACCATATTTAAGATACCTGAATGTGACGTATGCCATCAATCTTATCTTTTATCAATTATAATTTTTATTCTTATCCAAATCTACTTGCTTTGTTTTTAAGATTATCATGATATTATCTATAGACGACGCATGGAATTATAAAAATCAGCAGAATGTGATTTTCGATAAAAACTTAATTCCTTTCGAGCAAAAAAAAATTGTTCAATGAAAAATTTATTAGGAATTTTCACAGCGTTTGTTTATTTATTTACGACATTCTTTGGGAGAATGTACTTCTTTTTCTATTTTAAGGAACTATTCTACATTAGTCAACAACAAAGAATCTAATATTTCCAATTTTAAGTCTATCAAATTCGTGAAATTTTTGAAAAAAAGTAGTCTCAAAAGTATCAAAATGTTTGAGACACTTTACGAACATTATACATCAACACCTACAAAATTCATGAATGAAAACAAACACGATTAAATTTTTACAATCAATTTCATGATTGATTGTGCAAAGAACTCTCAGAAGTGTGTGTTTAATTGAAAATTGGAGCTAATAAAATTTTCAAAGAAGTAATTTAAAACCATTTAAAGGATTAAACAGCTCATTCGTCAATAATTGTCAGTACTATGGCGCCATCTGTTTGAGAGAAGCAAGAATATAAATGTAGAGCCATCTGTTGTTTGAAGATTGACTTAAAATCTATGTTTTGTGTGACAAAGATGCCAAAGATGTATGCGATACACGGAGTAAGGATACATCAGATTATACATTGGGGTAGGGTACACATGTTTATACTTAATTTTTAAATTAGCCTTGAAAAAACTATAAATATTTGAGATTATTAAAATTGAACGGAACTTTTTTTTAAAATTTTATATTTTTATTATTTCTTATTAAAACTCTTCACAAATAAGGGAAAATCAGACATAAAGTTTTTGCTTATACTCAAGGAAAATTACTTAAAAATTCGTTGGATTTTGATGAAGATACATCCTTACTAATCAGTTCTTCTGCATTGCATTATACTTGTCATAAGCTAACTTCAGTAAATCAGCAGCTCTCTTAACACGATCAGCAGTAAATTCCTCTCCAATTTTATCAACCAAATCTTTTGTTTCCTTCTTAATTAGAGCCAGTGGTCGTCCCAAAAATGTGATTGTGCAAAGTGGAGTGAATGCACACACGAATGAAGTGACTGCACCACCAAAGAAAACAACACCAATTGCTGATGCTAATAATGCAACGATTTTAGCCAAAATTGCGAAAATGATTTTAGGTCCAGGCAGGAACGACTTTAGAATTGCAACAAATGTTGGAGTTGTGTCATGAGTGTAATCATTTCTCTCAAATGTTGGAATGAGAAATCCTTCTAATGCCTGACCTGCATAACCACCATATTGACTGACATACTGCTGTACAGCATCTTGTGGAACGAATGTTTGGTAGAGTGTTGGATCGTAAGCTTGATTATTTAAAATCTAAATTGTTACACGAGACAGATATAAAATAATATAATTTAATTTTAAATCAATATAAGCTTCATTATTCTATTATACAAACCGCTGCTTCACTATTGCTACTTTGGTAGTTCGTTGCAGATGGTACATATGAAGTTTGTGGAACTGGATCTTTTTTCGGTGGAGGATTTGTTGTAGTCGATGTTGTTTCAGCTGCACTGATAACACCAATAAAACCAATAAAAACAAAACTGCACAAAAATTTATTCATCCTTTTTATTTGTCGATAAAATATATTTTTTTGAATTGAGAAATTTTGTGCTACACTTGGTTATGCTTGCTATCTTTTCACTTTAAATTTTTTTGCACAAATGTTTTTGTGAGCAATATGCTTGGAACTTTATATACGATTCTCATTTACTCCCTCTACCTTTTTGCCTTATTTTTGTGTCTCTCATTCTAATTTTACCCCTAAAATTCTCAAGTGCTCTTATCAGCATCGATTTTGAGAAATTGGGATTCATAAGGACATTAATGTCTGACTGTTTTCACTTATCCAATGAAATTAGTGTAAATAGAAAAATGGTTAATAGCTTTGAGTGTTTGCCATTGACGTATGGGTTCGAATCTTAAATGATTTCTGTCCTTGAATGTATCCATACATTTTTTTTACAGACTTTTGCTTTTCATTTATGAATAATTTCTATTCAAAGTCGCTTTTTGCATCCATAAACCCCTTGAAAATCCTTACTTATTTTCCTCACGTTTCAAGGCAGTCACATTTCCAAAAATGTTTACTTTAATTTCATTTAAATTCCTTATATTTGCAAAATATCTCATTAAAGGAATCAGCAAGAACTTTTACGGTTAAAAAATATTTTAGATAAGGACGAAAAGTTTGTCTCAATTTACAATAAAGTGCATCCTAGTTCACTAATCTATCGGGATACATCTTTCATTGGAAATGTTTTTAAAAATTTTTGTACATTTATCTCTTCTTCTTTCTATTTCACTTCATTAGTTCTCAGTATTCTCTCGGAAGGGCAAAAAAATGTTAAAATTTGAATAATTGCATTTTTATGGTGCAGGTAATCGTTTCCTCTCTCTCTATCTTATTCATTCCATATACCTGTCTGAAGGGTTCCAAATGACAAGTTGATGACGACAAGAACATTTCTAATTAGAAAGTATAAACATTTTGGAATTTATTTTGCATAGAGACATCAGGTAGGTCAGGGTATGTTAATTGCATTTCAATTGCATAATTAATTTTCTGGCTTAATGTTTATAAAATAAGTTGGGCTTAGGTGGAATTTACAGCTTTACATAATTAAAAAAAATTTTTAATCCTATGAATAATTTTTGTGGTGTGCCAATAGACTTTTTGGGGTAGAGGGATTACAAGACTTGTTTTGAAAAATATCGCATCCACTAAAGTTCATTAATAGATACTGTGCCCACAGTTAACCACGTGCATTAAAGCTACACATCAAACCTTGTGGACTTGTGCACACCTCTCAGAAATTTTATTTATTCTCTAATTCCTATTCAGCCACAAAGCAATTAAAAGAATACAAAATATTCCATCACATACGTAGTATAAAAAGAGTTCAACACCATCCAGTATGATTATTCGGAATGATTTATTATTGAAATAATTTCAGCACTCAACGAGCCTCATGAAAGAAAGGAGTTATTCATTGTTTAACTTATGAAAGCAAGAAATGAAAGGAAATTTATTGCAAAGAAACGTCAAAAAAATGACTGCAAAAATTTTTCAACCTACAACACATTTTCCCCATTTGCTAGCTTTTTGGCAGCAAAACACTATAGAATGAAAACTTTTTATTGACTCGCTGACAAAGTGGAAACTTTTTTTTTTGAAATTCATTGCCACCATGTGATTAAATATGATGAAAAAATTATAAATGGCTTAAAAAGAGTCAGAGTGCATAAGCGGAGAGTGAAGGTTTTGAGTTTAATTGTATTTTAGAGGTGCATATACGATATAACCCAATGATGATGTTATGGAAAAGGTTTATAGCTTTATTTATGAGCAGATTTAGTTGAGAATATTGCACGATATACACGATAGTACTGGAAATTATTCATGATGAATGTGGTGAAAATTTTTTGTTTTTGTGTCATATCCGAAAATTTTTCATTCTATTCTATCATGAATTTATAGTGATCACTTAATTTTAAATTAGAGTCAACAAGTTAATGAAGTGCTTTTGAAGCATGATATACATCATTTTGCATTGATAAGTGATTGTTTATCAACAATATTGTTCTATAGACAGCATAGCAAATTGAGTATTCCCTTACGTATTTATTTTTGCTATTTTATATTCATTCGATTTTTGGAAGCACTAAAACAATTGTACATGGAAGGGTTATTCGTAAATGATGTCCATGGTAATAATTTGAGGGGGTGGTTCCCTAGGTTCTTGAATAAAGTTGTCGACGTGATCTAAATCCAATTAGGGGCCATTAACTTATTACGTTCTCATTTTAGGGGAAGGTGGGTTTGAAAAATTGTACAAGTTCACACCAAAAACATTTTTTTAAAATTTATGAAAAATTATCAAAATAAAATAAATTATGAACGTTCAGTGGGGGGGGGGGGGGGGGGGGTTGCGAAAAAAGTCATTTTTTTAACTTAAGAACTATTAGTCAATATTATTGTCAAACGTTACATCTGATCAATTCTTAACCATCTCCCTGAAATAATATCCTGAAATTTAATTAAAATTAAAAAACTATTTTGCATTCACAGAATATGCTTCGAGTTAGTAGCTAATCCTTTCTACAAAATTTTCGCATAATCCATGAGATTTCAAAATTTAATTTCACATATCTCATAATATATCAGCCCATAGATGAGCATAAAAACCTACATATTAAATGTTCCTTAACAAAAAAAAATCACAGAATATACTTTAAGAATAATCCTTCATTTATAAATATAGAAAATAGGAAACAATGAAGAAAACATTTTTATTTCATCTAATCTGGAATTTTTGAAGACAACTAATACTTTGCAGACGTTTTTCCTTCGGACGTGACACGAGAAGTTGTGTCAAAATATTTTATTTGTTAAATGAGAAAAATGTATATGTTTGCTGTAGCATATGTGAGCATATTTTGAGGAATAAATGGTTAAAAACTATTTCTATGTCTTTATCTGCTTAGTTGAATTTTATTTTCTTTAAAATTTGTTTTCTCAATTCTTTTTCATTGTTTAATGAGTAAGTAAGCATGAAGAGTGAAATTTTTGGAATTAGATAAGAATGGATTTGGGAATAAAATGTTGATGTGCCGCACATTTCATACATAATTTTATAAGAATAGTTTCTAATTGGGTTAAGAGCTTTTCATCCGTGATAATTGATTTTTAAGGAGATTTTTTTAAGGAACCACTAAAGACTTTGAAATCAGGACGAGTAAAAACACTTCCTTTGTGCCAACTGCCCTGAAATATTTCTGAAAAATGAAGCAATTTCTTCCACAATTTATGGCAATTCTGCAGTATTTTAAACAAAACAAAAAGAGTTTATCCAAAAAATTGCACCGCATGAACCATAACAAGACATTCCATAAACTCATTACACCAACATAATTCATAAACAGCATAAAATTTTGTGCTTATCAAAAAGAAAATATTTTTCGATAAAATTCATGCAAAGAATTTCTTCCAAGTCACGAAGGCCTATTGATGTTAATTTATAGCTCTCCTCACCCTGATTTATGATGAAATCCTCAATATTCGACACCTCGATTCATCATCACATACAATATTTCGTAACGGAAATGAAGATATGTGACTTGCAAATCGGAAATCAACAAATATCCGTTTTTATACAGCACAAAAAAAAATGTTTTCATGCTTTTTTATTATGGAAAGTTTGAAGCGAAAAATAAATTGATCATAAAAATTGCACACTTCATATTATGAACCCAAAGGAATCATTTGGTAAAATTTAAATTTATTACTGTATGCTGATTTATGACCATTTTCAGATTTTAAATCTCTTTTTCGTTTTTTTTAAACATTTCTGATGATTGTAAATTGATAGGGTGAAATATGTGTACGAATGTATATTAATATATGTGACATAAGTACATGAAAATGGCAAATGACTTTATACTCTGTATGACAAACTTTTGCAGCACGAGAAAATAACAATTTTAAACTGAAATAAAATTTTTATCTACGAGTTTTCATCTTCTTATAATTTATAAGAGTATCTTAATGAACTTGTAATGCTTTTCATTATATTACAACATAATTTATTGTCATCTCACTTATTCTGTATCATGAAAAACATTTGACAATTATTAAGTTGCGTAAATTATGAATCATCAAAATTAATCCGCTTAAATACAACGTTGTTGCTACAGATGATGCTTTTGAGGCTGTTGTTGATGATGATATTACATTATTATCTATGTCATTTTCCTCATCAGGACGCTTTTTCTGCTTTTTGGATGCTATAAAAAAATAATTTTCTCGTATTAGAATAATTTTGTAAGTAAGTGGTAGAATGAGTAGGAGATGTAATTGTGGCAATTTATATGCACAAGAAAATCTGATGTTCTTAAAGGAATCTCAATTTGATTCAGCTGAAATTTTGAATTTTCTGAATTCAGCTTATTCAATCAGAGTTCAGCTGAATTAAGTTGTATTTAACTTATGAGCTGGAAAACTTACTTTTCGGTCTTCTTGTTGAAGTTCTTCCATCAATATCATTCGATTCATCAAACACATCATACTTTGTGAACGAATCATGTGCCGTTGGACTCACAAATATCTCATCTGTGCCTATCTTGAGTCTATCATAAGGACATGTTTCTAAATTCAAAAAATAATAAAAACAACAATGATGAATTAAATCTCATTAAAATCATCCCTCTCAAAAATATCCCATCATTCTCACCTGTTCGATTCATTTCCATACCGAAAGAGAATGGATCTAATGACTTGTAACAATTTCCTTCCTCTCCTGCTTCTCGAATGAAAATGTTTTTGCCGTCATCTGAATTTGTCATTAATCCAACAAAACATTCATAAGTATTAACCACGTCAACGCGTTGTGTTAATGTGTATACATTTGTGCTCTTTTTGTCTATCCAATGACCCAAGCAACGGTATACCCGAGTCTCATAAATGTCATGCGAATCACATGGGCCGATTTGATAAAACATTATATCAGGGTTTTTGCAATCTGATGATATCACTGAACATAATTTCATGTCATCAGGGAGCTTTCCGAAATATTTTCCATAAATGGGGCACTTTTCCTTTGTCACATTTTCTCCAATTTCTAGAGGGATATAAAAATTTCCACACATGAAAATGGATGTTCATATCAATTTCAATTTTTCGCTTGACTTACTTGCTTGTGTTACCCATTCCTTCATGTTAAAATATTTATTGTTGCAAACATCATAATTTGTAAATGAACTGAGTGTTTTTGAGCTGATTTGAGTCTCAATAACATTGTCATGTAATTGAGTTATAATTATACATTTATAGTTCTCCTCGCCACATTGAGAACGACTTCGGACGATATACTTATCACTTTCTAATATTGTCACCAAGGACATGTAGAATGTCTTTAATGAGCTTTCATCCCTGTAGGTTAATAAGTTCTTTGATATTGTCATGTATTGCCAATCACCCTGAAGGTTATCAGGAAATGCAATTTCAAGTTCATTAAAGCTATTTGATTCGAGAAAATTTAATGATTTCTTAATCTTAAAAACTTGTTGATTTGTAACTGAATTTCTTTTTGGTAATGTGCTGCAGTCATTGTTAATTCTCAATGTTAGTTGAGTTTGATCATGATTATCATATTCATATGTCTAAAAATGATAAAAGGAATTAATAAAATGACCAATTTAAGGAATATAATAAGCATTCACATACACCACATTTATATTTTTGTTCAGTCTCATTTGACGATGACTCAATCACAGCAAGAAAATTTTGATTTTGCATTTTCCAATTTCCCAAGCAATCAAATGTTATCGGTTGAAGATCTGTGTTACAGTCACGAAAATGAATATTCATTGACGAGCTGGATGGACAATTTGAAATTGTTGATTTAAATCCACTACAGATCTTTTGATTGTTTAAGTAATAGTCAAATTTAATTTCTCCATCAAATGGACAAAATTCATGATGACGAGACTCGATTCCTAAAAGACATAAAAACGAGAGACAATGAAGAGACTTTTCGAGTGACAACAAAATTTATTTTTTGTTTGAAATCTCTTGTGGATGATTTTGTCAGGTTTTCTGGTGACAAAATTAGAATTTAGACTTATTCAGCTTGATTCAGCAATATTCAGTACTTTTTCATCTTAATTTTAGATCATGCCGTCTATAAGACTCATTCAGCCGAATTTAAAATCCATTAAACATGTCAAAACATTTACTAAATCTGACAAAATCTTCCACGAGCGGATATAGAAGATTCTATTTAATACTAACTGTAGAGAATAATTGAATAAAAGTCATTTGTAAACTTTTTCTCATCATTTAAGCTTATTTCGGGTGGACATTTTACGGTTTCCGCTGATGACGAGCATTTGGAATTAATGTCACTTTCAGTGTGAATTAAGAGAAGTATATTTTTTGAAATCATCTGAAGATTGAAGCACCGATAGCAAGCTATTCTATCATCATCACTACTGTGTATAGAAAAAAGAGAATAATGTAAAATTTAAAATAATTTTCAATTAATACTAAATGAAATTTTGTTGGTATAGGAACGGTAATCAATTTTACCTTAAGTTTACAATAAAATTACTTCCATTACGAGAGTAACATAATCCATATGGTGATATGTCTTCTTCTGTTATGTTGATTATACTATATTGAAGTCTATTATTTCCATTTAGAGCAGCATTTTGTATTCTATATTCTCCTTGTAGCTCCATTGGAAAGATGCAAAATTGGTCTGAGGCAACTGAAAAGTATAAACAGAATAAATTGATGTTAATAATTATTAATATCCGACAAAAAGAATTTTTCTTATTATTAAATCAAGTAATAATAATTCTTGAACGAAATATGACAAGGCTATTTACTGCCAACCACAAACATTGGTGTGTAATTGGAGAATCAAAAACATGAAAGGCAAAAGCTTTATAAGATGAATCAGGTAAGTCACGTAATAATAAAGAAATGAAAGACAAGTCGTTCAAACTAGCAAAACATACAATCATGAGAATAAGATACAAGACCGGCTTATATTGTCTAAATAAGAAAAATAATACATGAAAACTAATATAGGTAAGGTGATAGTTAAACTGGACAGGAAAAATATGAGGCGGCAGAATCATGAAAAAAGAAGAGATGATTAATTTTTCAAGCCAATTTTATGGAACCTTTTTATAATGAGCAAATAATTATGATTCTCTAAATCCATAATTGTTTTAATAAGAAATAAGGAACTTTGAGCGTCAAGTCAACAACTCAACAAGCGTAAACAAAAATGTGAGACGCTTGATTATTTTTTTTCGACTTTTCTTTTTGCAAAATTGTCTGTTTTGCGTTTGTAGAACACTTTTTTGTACATGAAGATAATAACGTTTGTTTCGCATGAACTGATGTTTATTTTGAATATTCTTATCGCTCTTTTTAATGGACTGTACATTTTAGTTACGAAATTAAGAACATCTCTCGCATGTGCTTCAAAATTTTGATTCTTTTTATAGAAACGTTAGTTGCTGCTTGGGTCTATAAAGATCCCTAGCTGAATTATGGCTTAGAGAAAAGGACCTTGAGGATCATAGCTACTCCTTTTAAAACTAGAGGACAGTAAGTTCAAGCATGTCGAGAATTTGACATTCCAAGATCATTAAGGTTGCCTTTAACATTCTTAATAAGGCATGATGTCTAATAACTATAACACAAATTTTCCTTCCAAAAATCCAAACCGACAGTCTTTTCAGGTATATCAATTGGAATAATTTTCATACCTCATCTACATGCCATAGATTTGTGAATACAAATTGACTTCCATATTTGCCTTTATGAATATTTTAAGAACCTCTCTGTATGCATATGTAAATATTCATTACTAAAGAACAGTAAGGAATTTTTCACCAACATCATTGTTCTCAATTTTGCACACAAAATTAAGATTTTTGGCATTGACGATTTAATAAATTTGATTTTGATTCACAGTAAAGGCGCCACCTAAGGAGTTGTACAAACTATATTTTTTTTATAAAACTTATTGCGCTATTTTTATGAGCATCATGTGGTGCCTTTCTTATTTTTTTTTTTTTTTTGGTTTTATTGATTCACTATTATCCATCATTATATACCATATCCATAGTAATTTAAGTTTCTTCATTTCTATGTTTATTCATCTATGAATTCGTTTCAGATGGACCGATTTTAATTTCAAGAGAAAAAGAGATCTAACAACAATAATAGTCATTATCAGGACTACCATAACGTTCAACTTGGATCTTCTTCATTAAGCGTGTTATTAATTTTTTCTCTCGTTCAAATTAGAATAATGAAGAAGAAGAAAAAAAATTGTGTAAAGTGTCTAGAAAAGAATTAGAATGAAGAAACAAACAGTCGAAATGGGAATAAGAAGTATAAATAATATATACATTGGAAAAAAGAATGAACTTAAATTTTTTTACGGAAACGATAGTAATGTAAATATTTCCACATCATTTCAAAATATTTTAAACAATAATGATTCCGACAAACCGCACATACCTTTAACGATTCATCTATCTGTCTTACCCGACCAACGATTGTGCGATTGAGGTGGTCTAATGATTATCATATGAATGAATGGAGGGAAATAAATTAAAGTGAAGACGCATTTAAGCATGAATTTATGACGGTCTAGACTTAGGACTATTGAGTGATAAATAAGGATTTAAGGGAGTTTTAAAGACATGATGAATTGATGATATTTTAGATGAACAATCATTATGAAGGTGAAAAAAGGATCAGAGTATACGGAAAACCAGAAAATTTTAATATGTCCTTGAATCAGATAGAATATGACTGTCTAGCTATATCAATTAACTTAAATCATTGGAATACTCTTTGGTAAGGATAAAGTATTAAAATTAAATTTGGTTTAAATCAGTGAAATCTTAATTAGAAACTTTATGGGTTCGAATCCTAATAATGAATTGTAAAAATTCTAAAACCTACATACAAGACTCAACTCTTTCTGTTTGACTACATTCTTTTAAGTAATCTGATTGACTTTTGTATCGTAAGACATAGTAAAGAATTCACTGAATTAACACGACTCTGAATCAGAATTATTATAGTAAACACTTGATGACTTTATAAAGATCAGTTTGCATAAAGGAAACTATATCGCTCGGGAATGCATTCAATCTATCTCATGTATTTCTTTCATTTCTTCATGAATGAGTAATTTCTTGTGAATCAAACCTCAAATCTCTGGAGTGTTTCATTGATAATTTATATTCCGTGAGTACGTAAAAAAATATTATAAAAATAAATTCAATAGAGTGTGAGAGAAGCGGCGCAAATATTCCACAAAATAATATATATTTTAATTCTTCTTACCTATATGTAAATTTTTTCGCGTGAATAACACAATAATAAATATTGAAATGATATTTGCCAGATTTCTATACATGCTGTATGTTTGAAATGTCTTGTCGATGTGAAAACGAAAACTGATCTCGATTTGAGCGTTAAATGGAAACTAAAAGTGCATAATCTAAATTGAATAGCAAAGAAGCCGAAGCCTCGGTATGATGATATACAGTAAATTCTTCAACACTGATGGTGATTCACGAAATTCGCAATAAAAAACGTAAATACATGTTCGGGGCAAGCAGCAAAATGCAAGAAGAAGACACAAATTTTTGTGTGGTTTATGTGTGTGTTTTTGTTTTTGTTATGTGTGTGGCATGCACAAAAAAAGGGATAACTTTGAGGGCTTCACTGTTTAGCTAGCTGTACAGCAATATAATCTTTGCAACCTGTTCAATTGTGTGTGTTGCCGGCTTCTTGAGTAAATTAAATAATATTATTTTTTTAGAAATCGATCTTTTTTTTCTTCTTCTGTTCCTCATAAAAAATTTTCACTTCTATGTTATTATTGTTGTTTTATGCTTCTTTTCTTATTTTTTTTAATTTAACAGGTAATTTTTCTCGATAAATACAGTTTTATGTAGCATTGCATGAACTAATACATAACTGAAAACTTTTTTAATAACAATTCTCAAAAGTTCTTTTTTTTGCTCTGATTCAAATGTGCAACATAAGAATATGTATGTTTAACAATGTGCGCGATAAAAGAATCACTTCTCGAAACTGCAGAGAGACACAAAACAATCTTAAAACAAGAGAAATATTAAAAAAACGTCTGCTTTTTTGTGCAAATCAACTAAAACTAAAAACTGTTGAATGAATAACAAGAAAATTTCCTACGTGAAATCATTTACGAATAAGAATGTGAAGCAGAACGGGAAAAATGTAATTTACTATGGTCTCGTAACATCAACAAAATAAAAATTTCTTGATTGTGTTAAATTCTCTTTTTTTATGAATGAATTTTTAGTTGAAAAACATCTTAAGATACTTTTAACCGCATTTTCGCGTCAATAAATTCACTTTGGATGAATCACTAGCTTATGATTCCGGCTATTTTATTTATCCCAGAATCAAGTTTTGTCAGAATAAATTTTTTTTGCATTCTTAGTATTTGCACATTGCATTTCAGTTACTTTATAAATGAATCATGTGATTATAATAAGATTACTGGCTATTTCTGTGATTTATTCAACTGTCAATAACAGGCTGACAAGATCTTTCTAGAATAGTCAGCTAATATGTTAATTTCATTCGTAATATTTTAAGCACGTCTTTGATCCAATTTCAGCAAACAAAAATTATCGTACCTCGAGAAAAATGCGCTTCATCCAACTCTGCACTCATTAATCTCACAAAATTTTTTTTGTAAGTCTCTTTTTCGAGTATTGAGGTGATACGAATATAATACGAAGTTGAACATGAAATTGCTTTAGTTTCAAGCGCTCTTCAGCGATGACTTTTAATTTTTATTTTATTATTTCCATCGTTGTTGTTTCTAGATCGCTCCCAACGAATTAAAAAATATTTTCTTAATTCAATTTCCTTGTAGCTGATTATATTAAAACAAACTTTAAAAAAATCATATTTTAATTAAATGTGAGATTATTTCGAAAAATGTAAAAATAATAAAATAAAGATTTTTTTTTGTTTCGGGACGTGATGAAACAATTAAATTCAAAACATTTAAACACACGATCGTGATTCTGAATTTATTTCAGAGATAAAATCCTTTTAGGCTTTAGTAGCTAGCAACCAAAATATTGTTGTGTTGAAAATGTTTTAAATTTAACATTTTCTGTTCTCATTCTTTCAATTTCTCAATTCTTGTTCATGTCTGGTTAATCAAGACATTAACTTTACAAATCATGTCTTTGAAATCCTAGAATACAAAAGAAAATTGGAGATTAAAAAAGAGAATGAAAGAAATGCTCTCAATATGATTCCAGTCATTCAGCTTCCAATGGAAGTAAAACTTTCGATTTTAAAAAAGAATTTCATTCAAAAATCAGTCATTGTCGATGTGCTGAATGGAGCAGATTAAATTTCTCATATTCTTCTTTATTTTCTCCGGTTGTTCCATACGCGTATGAATGATATAGCAACAAATAACAATTAACACAGAAAAGATGATTTTTTTTAATGTTTATTGAGCAGTTCAGACTAATGTTCATGTCAACAATAATGCAAAGAAATTTCTTTTTGAGACTTTCACCTCCTCCTAATTTTCTAAATTCAAACAATCAAGTGGAATATAATTTCATTTGACACGGCATATAATGTTTTTACTGTTGGGGGTTGAATCGTCATTTGACGATGCTGCTATTTACCTTCTGCCTTTATGAGAAGTCTATTGTCATTTTTTTTGCTTAAATTAAGGGAAAAAACCAGATGTTGTGCGAACAGACACGAGAAAACGAAAAGTGAAGTACAAAAGAAGACAAAAATTAAATTTTTATTATGAAGGAAAATTTAAGGTAGAGAATAAAAAGTTTTAAGCTTCTCTGGATTTAAAATTTTCTCGGTGTAATGCTCTTTTCACCTTTCAACAATCTCTTGAATGGTTTTACAGATTTCCCCATTGTTTGTTTAAAATTATCATGGATAAGCTATCCTTAATTGTATTAAATTATGCATCCCAAGTGATTTATTTACCACAAATACAAATAATAATTTGTTTATCCTCCAAATCATTATTTAATTATTATGAAAATATCCTTGAACATCCTCAGAACGTTCATACAGACCTAAGCAGCATTTAAATCAATCGCTTTTCATTTATTCAATGCCTTTCTATATTTAACTGAGACATAATAAAAAAATGTTGATGTCATGGTTTAATGATGTGGTTGCATCTTTGAATGAACGTTGGATTCTAATTTGCACTGTAATTATTTTTTTATAAAAAAAAACTTTGTTTGTTTATATAAACAACTCGAGGTGCTGAACAATGTGAAATGGAGAGAACAGCAAGTTCGGATGTTTATATGAGGAATTTATGGAAGTGCATTTCTGAATTCTGTGTCAGGAGTTTGAATTAAAATAACTTAAAGCTATAATGATGACACACAAGAATTGATCAAATATGCATCTCATGCTGTCTTTTGATTTACTTGATTCACCTTTAATAGTTCCAATCTGTGGTAAACTAGTTTAATAATTTAACCTTATCATGGAACTTAATCTCAAAACTTAACTCCATAAACTACCAAAGTGTCATAAGTAGGAATCTGCTCCCGACAATAATAGGCATTATAATGTACAAAACTTTTTTATTCTTATTCAGAAAAACCGCATTGTATACATTGAAATAATTTTCCTTCATGCTCATTTTTCCTCTCCTCTTTCTTTACATATACATTTTTATTTCTCCTTTTTTGTTGTACCTCGCATGCATATTATTAAAATTTGTGCTCTTTGTGCAATGTCCCCCCTTTGAACTGATTCCTTTTTTTTTCTTCATTGAAAATTTTCTTTTGATATTTTTATAAGCACTGCATCGCAGACAAATTCTATTCGGGAAAAAAAAAGTTCAAAACAATTCTATTCTCTTTTTCATACCAATATATATCAATGGTAAAAATATTCAAATGTGTTGAGAAGTTTGCATATTTAAATATCGATTGCTTCCTTTTATAAAAATTTCTCTCCTCTTTCCCGAACATACAATGAGTATACTCAGAGCACATTATTTGTGAGCTTGCAAACTTTTGTGAGAATGTGCTCATTTCATACATTAAAGTGATGCGATCACGGTACCTTTTTGAGTATGCTCAGTGAGCACATTCCTTTGTGACATGCATTAAGCTCAATGAGTAAACTCATGAGCATACTCAAATGAGAAGGCAACATGCCACACGCAACATTTTTTTAATGCAACATTTTTTATTGAATATACTTATGAACATTCTCAAAGAGCATATACTCATAAACATACTCAAAGAGCTTATACTCATAAACGTACTCAAAGAATATATACTCAGTGAGTATATTTATGAGTATATGCTCATCTGAGCACACTCATGAGTGCACTCAGTTAAAGTCGCAAAATTCAAAAAAATTAATTAAGTTAAATTTGAGTTTTATAAGGATAATTCTGTGAATAATTTTGGAAGAGTTAGAAATTATTATTAACATTTTATCTCAAATACTTAAGAAGGAAGTTTTAAAAACCGGTCACCCATCCTTGTTGAAAAACCTATTGCGTTGCTTAACTTCTGTCACCTCACACTTTTCATTGGAGCAATTTTCTGTAAATATATAATAATTTTTATATGGCACAACACATACTTAAATTATTATATTATTACAGGCAAACTAAGTTCTTTGAAGTTTGAAACGCTGCTTAATTGAACTATATTTTTATGAAATATTTGAGTTTATCAAAGCACGATCGTGAGAACATATTATGAAAAATGTCGACCAACTTAAAATTAAACTTAGAATACATTTTTAAGTAAGTCGACATTTTCAAAAATGTCGACCAACTTAAAATCAAACTTAGAATACATTTCTATGATAGTCGACATTCTTTAAAAATCGATCAACTTAAAATTAAACTTAGAATACGTTTTTATGATAGTCGACATTTTCAAAAATGTCGACCAGCTTAAAATCGAACATCGAATACATTTTTATATTAGTCGACATTTCTAAAAAATGTCGACCAACTTAAAATTAAACTATGAATACATTTTTATGTAAGTCGACATTTTCAAAAATGTCGACCAGCTTAAAATCGAACATCGAATACATTTTTATATTAGTCGACATTTCTAAAAAATGTCAACAAACTTAAAATCAAACTTAGAATACATTTTTATGTAAGTCGACATTTTCAAAAACGTCGACCAACTTAAAATCGAACAAAGAATACATTTTTATGCAAGTCGACATTTTTCAAAAAATGACCAACTTAAAGTTAAACTTAGAATACGTTTTTATGCAGGTCGATATTTTATGAATTTAAATATTCGTTCCATGAAAGCCAAAAGATTTTGATCGTGCTTAATTCTTATAGTTTTTTAAAAGCGAAGTAATTTTTAATTTAATTCCTTGAGAAACTCTTGACATTTATTTCAGAAAACTTAAAATTGTAAAAAGTTTCGTACATTTTTGTATTACATATCTAAAATATTCAACATTTGCTTTTAAGTTGGTTGACAATTTTTTAAAAATAACATTTTAAAAAATGTCAACTATCATTAAAATATATTCTAAGTTTGATTTTAAGTTTGTTGACATTTTTTAGAAATGTCGACTAATATAAAAATGTATTCGATGTTCGATTTTAAGCTGGTCGACATTTTTGAAAATGTCGACTTACATAAAAATGTATTCTAAGTTTGATTTTATGTTGGTTGACATTTTTTTAAAATGTCGACTAATATAAAAATGTATTCTAAGTTCGATTTTAAGTTGGTCATTTTTTGAAAAATGTCGACTTGCATAAAAATGTATTCTTTGT